GCCTCTTGTCAATGAAGACTTTACTGTGATGTGTCTCAGGCGCCTGGGTGGTCTTCTTAGGCAGGTTTGACTGTAAACTTATAACATAGAAGTCAAAGTTTTGGTTCGATGTTTGATCTTGTGACTGCTGTGCCAGCCTCATGGAGGCACCAGCAAAATACAAAACAGTCCCAAATCCCAGTTTCTCTGGAAGATTTCCAAACGGCTCTACTTCCCTTACAGTGTTTAAATATCTTCCATCATCTAAAGGCTTACTCCTAGACACAACCCGCAACCTTGGTCTTTTCAAAGCCATACTACCTGATCCATATCATTTGGGGAGAAAATGGAGAGATCGACATCATGGAGTCATACCGCTGACAACTCAAATAAACGTTGCGGATTACAGTGAGTAAAGTTACACAAACAATCTGCAGATATTATCAGGAAATCACTTTCATCTTTAGTCATATGCTGGTTGCTGATTTATTAATTTAGGTGGAAAGTTAAATTCACTGTTGATACAGCTCTGGCAGATTTGAAAAGCACATCCAAATTGTGCGGTTTGCAGAACACTTGAGTCTTGACTTGAGGGCAGTGTCTGTGGCCTGTTGTTCAGTGTGTCTGGGGAATACAGCGTTAGACACCCCTTAAGGGATATGCATTCTATATAAGGAAGGTGAAGTTAGGTGAAAATCAAAATGTGCCAGTTGATTAATAGTTTCAAATGTTGAAGAATTCGAGCATGTAATAGTCTTGCCAGGACCTAGCCTGTGTATACAAGCTCTCGGCCGGAGGTTAATGACCCCCACCCCAAGATGGGGGGCGGCAACCTAGGGCGGCAGCCGCCAGGAGCGCGATTTAGTCAGGCTAGCCAGGACCCAGCCGTCATATTTTCCTTGTTGTGTTACTCTCGATAATAAAGGTTCTATAACCAGAGCACATCATCTGGTTGTCTCGAGACTCACTTTCTTAACTGGCAATGGACACAAAGTTTGAGAGGAAAGTCTACACCTTGGTATTAACAGTTTTAGGGAATAAATGTAGCTAGATTCAAATTTTCCTGAGGTAGCCTTCTATCTGTTGATCTGTTCTCATCTGTCCTCTGCTCAGAAATGTCTGAGAACCAAGAGAATAAATTGGTATGGCCTAAGCTACATGGACTGAGACGGCCGACCTTTACTGACTTAACTGAATCTGAGAAACGGTAACTGAGGAACAGTAGAAACAGCCCTCTCAAATGTGAACAACACCAGGATGTGAGATGTAAAGTACCGTACTCTCACTGGAGATTTGGCTGGTAGAGAACAAAGTAGGTCATGCTGGGATGAGGCAACATACTCCACATAACAGCATAATCAGGAACATTGCTCCGTAGTACTGCTGCCACACTGGCTGGCACTGTACAGAAAATAACCTTGCCTGCAGCACGAAAGTCTAGAGTCTCAGTAATGTAGGTCTAAAATCGACACTGTGGCCAACATGAGATCTACATTACAAAGGCTTAAACCGTACACAAGGGTAAATTGCTTCCCATCAACAAGCTTTCAAGTTCTCTGGTATCTCTCTAGATCACTGGTCAACAGCTTGTTGGTAACAATTAACCTTGTGAACGGTGTTTGCATTTTAAGTCTTTATAATGTCATTAACCATCACAAACTAAAAGAGCTTAAAATTATTTTACTACTTACTAAGTACTAGCCTGGGTGAAGTCCTATTGACTTTTAAGTTGGTGGGGAGTATGGGAGCCACAGAAAACAAGCTATTCAAACTAAAATGGCACCCAGCCTCTACAAGTACTTGAAGAAAGCAGACTATTTTCCCAAACAAGCATTATAATTATACATGCAGAAACTTTTGTATTTCAAAGAAGTCCCTTATTCAGAGCTGCAGTGATGATGACACTACTTCTGCGGTCACATGACTTCAGTCCTTCTTGTTTCAGTGGTAGCAACCAAATTTTAGGGATAGATCAACTTCAAAAAATTTCAGCTGCTGCCTTACTCAACTACCAGGAGCCAAAAACTGTCAGCGGTGTGGCCTCCATCCTTCCATATCCTGTCAAAGTTGTGGGATGTAACAGACAAGGCCAGGCCAGAGGTGTCCAACCGGTTCAATCCTCTGTCAAAACCGGGCATGGCCAGTCCCAGTCCGGCTACTGCCTGAGGCAGTCTGGGGAGGGATAACCTTGCTTGTTTCCCAGGCTCAAGATCGTGTGAGTGGGAGGGGTTAGACTGTCAGTGACCTGTCCTGTAATGTTATTGCAGTAACACTGAGTTAACATGACCAGCTATTCGTACTATCCTCACATTGACTTTGCATAGTTTTATTACGCATCCTTCTTTCTCTTCTGTACAGAAGGGCTGTCAGAGGGCCTGCAGGGGGGGGGGGTAGTGATTACGATTTACGCAAAATTTTTGCCGCCTATTACGAATTACGTTAAAGTCTCAGAGCTGATTACAACTTTACGATTTGCGGCTAATGTCCAATTACGAATAACGTTGATTTTTGCGGAGGCTGCCCACGAATTACGAAGTCTAAAACGGCCTGATTACGCCTTACGAAAAAAGGGCTTGCAGGCCCTCCTGTCACTGTTTTACTGGCATGTAGAAAGTGGTTATCTGATATTGTGTCAGGTAACTCAGTCCACAGAGTTGTCAGTAGTGCAGGAGATTGTAGAAAGTGAAAAAGACAGCCCGACTGATCTGGGACTATTGAAGATAACGTACAGGAGTAGTGATGAAAGCTCGTTCTGCACGGCAGCCATTGGCCCATACTCAGAATTTTCAAAGTGGCTCACATGTTTGATAGATCAGACATATAGATAAAGAAATGGCTTCAATTTACAAAGTCAAAACATTAGAAAAAAAAATTTGTCTGGTATGAAAAAAATTGCATGATCAGGAACAATATTGTTGCAACATTTCATGTCAAAGCTGTATCTACAATGTACATGTACAAAGTCATGGATAAACAACATACTCAAAGGGAAGTTCTCAGCAAAAGTCAATGAACTTTTTTGGAAGCCAACCAAGAAACAGGAGGCAAAACGACAAGACTGATGAAAACATTTTCTCTTCCCAACAGCACTAAACGAACAGGACAAACAAGCAAGTTCACAGACATACATGCACCTCCATCAGCATGTACATTTATCAAGAGCATGTGTGCTATGGCTGGTATGACACTGCAGTACAACAGTAGTACAGAGAGTATCACTTTGGAATTTACTTGGATGGACAAGGCAAACTAGCTCTGCTGGAATTCTAATAGATAAGGCATGTAGCTACTATTTTTTTCCTGACACTGTAAAGTGAAAAATGACGTACTGAACAAGATGAGAACAGTAAGCTGGGAGGAACATTCTGTGTAACTTGCTAAGACCTTTCATCTTCTTGAAACCTGACAGCCAAAAGACTTTATATTGGTGTGGTCACAATATCAAATCTTGCATCATCATCATCATACCATAATACAACCAGAAGCTCACTTTGATGTTATATAGTATGTCTTAACAAAGATAAGATTGGCAAGATATCATACTCTTTCGGATCTCCAAAGTTGGATGACTGGGTGCTTCTACAATGTCCTCAGTATTTTTTTAGCCAACAGGAGCATGAGGAAGACTGTCACTGCAGTATTTGCTCAGACAACAGAAATGGACAGTAACAAAACAAGCGGGAATTTCCCCACTCAACCGCTACATTCAGAAGTTGGGCCCTCTGACATTAACGGACATGTCCAAGGGTATGACCTCAATTCGGGTCAGTCAGGGTGGATGGTAAATCTTAAAAGTCAAGTTCAATGCAAGTAATGTACATGGATGAAGGTTAGACATCCAAGATAGTAATATGATATGCCAAAACACAGTTACTCAAGCAACTGGATATGAACCATATTTCTTGAGTAATGTTGCTTGAGTAACTGCGTTTTGGCCATTGCAAGTAATATTAAACAATTTAGAATGTCATTGCATCTGTGTCATAGAATACAGTCTATTTAACACAAATGTGAAAGACAGACTCCTGTATACGTTGAAACTTTGTCAAACTGTCAATTAGCTTTGAAATATGTCCTTCCTTAGACAGAAACATGCCTCAGAGCCTATTTCATAAACTGCACCTCCAATGTGTATGCCGACTGTGTCAATGTTAATTGCTCATCAGTTAACTTTCGTATTTTGATATAAACACAGCATGACAATTTGTTGAAACGAAAAAAGAACCTGAAAACTGGTAACAACAGGCCTATAAGTATAAAAGCCAATTTGAAATAAAAATAGAACCTCACACCATGGCTACACATTGCCCCTAACCACCAGGAATCTCCACGTGACAAGAATAAAGTCTTGTTATGTCATCTTCCACACGTGTGCACCCTGAAGATGCATACTGCACCTAATCATCTGTGAAGGTTTGACCCCAATTCATGCCTACATGTAACACCATAGGCTGAGAAGACTTTCCATGATCAGGCCATACCAACTTAATTTCTTTGCTTCCCTGATTTTAGAAAACAGTGCTAGATTTTATCTAGATATGCATGTTAACGTACTGAGGGGAAAGTCTACATTTGTCACTATTTCAAGAAGTAAAGGGAGTCAAATGCCAGTTTTCGTCATAGCCTTCTATTCTAAGTGATGTCCTCTTGCCAAAGTTTTAAATAAAATGTTTGAGAACCAAGGAATCATACTGGTGTGGCCTCAGTTTCCCACCAAATCTGCACCAGTTTGAAGCGACCAGGCCCGGCCTGTGAGGACTCCATCATCAAGCCTTACCTTGCCCTACATTTTATTGGGCTACTTGTTACTGATGAGCACAAACAACAACAGTGATAACCTCACTACTTCCGATTCCCCACTCAACTCAACAGGCCCTTTAGCACCTCCCATTCCACCCACAGGCACGAAGAGAGGGCAAATGTTGTAAATTCTGCACAAGTCTTCCCCTCGACCCGCCAGCGTCTAAAAATAAGGTGTAAACGAGCCAATAGGAGACCTGTGTTCGTATATCACCATTAAGGTCGGCTGGGGATCAACACGATCCCACCGATGCCTTCTCACACGTCCCTAGACCCACTCAGGGATCAAACGCCAGGCCAGAACTTTTCCACACATGTACACATGCCATATGGTACAGTCCCGGGATTGGTTATAGGGACAGGCCAGGTCCCACCGGCTGGAGCATATTATGAGCCAGTGCTGCAGAAAGTTGACTAAACTTCCCTTACCGGTCAGCCAATCAGGAGGGAGCCTGGCACACTCTTGGGGTGGAAGTCCTGTCAATTACATGGTGCAAACAACCTCTCGGACCCAATAACTACCCCGGTGGATCAAGCTGGGAGATAACAACTTCTGCGCTGAGTGTGCGCCTGTCCTGTCCATCAGAATGGCTGTCCTGAGCACCACACTAGTGGGATTTCTGATCCTTGCCGTGTCTTTCCTTCCCTCACCTGCCCGAGCCCAGTCCTGCCCGGCCTCGGTGACCACCTTGTGTTCCGCAGACGACCAGTGCAACTACGCCCTGGAGATCCCAACCTTGAAGATGACGCTGCCGGTGAATCCTCGAGTGAAAGCGGCCGAGAAGGACTTGGAGACGCTGGAGAAGACGTTTGCTCAGCTCCGGCTGGCGGTGCTACGAAGAAACATCAACCAAGAAGTGCTGAACAGGCTGAACGAGGTGGCCAACAACCTGAAGGCCGTCAGGGAGTCCCTGGACGGAGCCCGGGAGAGGAACGTGGAGGTTCTGCACGCGGGGCAGCATGTCAAACAGGACAGGGATACGCAACGTGGCCTCAAGACCCTGGAGGAGAGTATGGATCAAAAGTTTACGGGTCTCAAGGGCATGCTAGAGAAACTACTCAAGACCTGTGCCAGGGAATGCTCGAGCGACAATCCAGGTATGCACGATATTTTTTGGGGGCTTCATACATCAGATATAGACATAACTTCTAGTTTTGAGAGCCAGATGTCATAACAAAGTGTAAATCAGTTCCTGATACCCTGAAACAGATAGGCTGCCTGACAAGCCCGGGATATTGATAGTCAGCCTTTAAATTAGGCTTGAACAAGTCCATAAATCTCTTTAGAAGTTGAAGACTCTCCGTGACTCTTATGGGCTCACGCTTATTTCCACCACAAAAGAATTTTCTCCCAAGGCCGTCTGCTGGCTGCATGCTTGTCAGACCCCAAGAGTGTTAGGCCACACTGATTTCAGTCATTGGTTCTTGGATTTAATTAAAGAAAAAGATTGTGCTATTAAACTGAAATTTCCACATGAAAACAGTTTGAGGAAAACATATGTTCTACTAGGATTTTGTACACAGTTTTGCATCTGTTTACAGTAGATTTTCCTCTTACTAGTCTCAGCCCTCTGTTTTCAAGTTGTCCACTTGCTTCAAGTTCAATACATGTATGTCTGATAACCAACAAGGAAATAAGTTGGTATAAGCTAAGTTTAATGGTCTCTACAAGATTCAAATGGGTTGCTGGAAAATAGTAAGAAATTGACCGAATAGCCTGAATACAGTAATATGCCAGAGGAGTTAGCCGGGACACTTTGCAACCCCTCTGGCACAGTGTTCAGTCTATTTGGACACTTTCCACTACTTTTCGCTAATGCATAGGAGTCTGTTAGAGACTGTTAGTTTTCTTCTTTCTGTTTTCATATTGTCCTCTTGCTAAAATTTATCTTTTTGATTAATCGTTTCCTTCTTCCTGTTTTCATGTTGTCCTCTTGCTAAAATTTTGCGGACGAAAAAAGTTTTACTTCTGGATCAATACACACACGTGTATATCTGATGACAACCAAGGAAATAAGATGGTGTGGCCTTTGTTTTCTTCCTTTGGAGAATACTCCTGATTGAAGATCATGATCAGTAATGACATGACTGTAGGGGGTAGGGATGGGTCAGACAACACGCACCAAGCCAAGGTCAACTCTTCTATCTCTTCGGCACACAGAGCAAGGACGTTGACCCCCTTAAGGGACACAGTTAGGCTCCTCCCACATTTAATACTGTCCAAGTCAGGGCTGGAAATACTGGTGGCAACTATCTTATTTCTGTGTCTTCTGTACATCAAGGATGTTGGAGCTCCTTGTGTACATAGATAGGAAGTGGCCTTCTCTTCAGAATTTGTACGCATGAAGAAGAGGTTGTGCATCGAAAATTGGAGCTGTTCACCTAATCTTTTACACAAAAGTGCACCTAGCTATTTGAATAGGGTAACATACTTGTACGGTAAGGTGCTATTGTGCAATAAGTTTAAAGCGTATAGTCTTGATGTATGAGTGTCACACGGGAAAAATAAGAAAATGATTGTAAGGTTTAGTTGTTTAGAATTTTGATGTCAGCCATAGAATTTTGGTTCAATTATGAGCACATGCTGTGCACCTCAATTTTTTTTCTTTGCACCAAAATTTTCAAGTTATAATTAGTTTCACCTGTGCACCTACTCTCAAAATTTCGAGCCCTGCAAGTCCCAAATGGTTTCATGTTGACAGTGGGGGTGAGTAAGGCTTTGAGCCACTGATATGGCTTGGGGTTGGCTCAACTCTTGACTAGGTGATGGCTTATGATATGCACATGTTATCCAACTTGATTTACGTTCATTACTTTAGATCCACAATAGAGCTTTGGCAATACAGTTAAATAACCTTATACAACTCAATGAAAAGAACAAAAAAAGTACAATATGTGTACAATAAAAATGTATTTTGGTTCAGGTCAGGAAAATTTTCTTTTTTTACTTCTTATTTGGAAAGAACCCAACACACTTAACAAGAAAAGTAAGGGTGACCCAGTGGCTGAAAACTCGAGCCTTGGCGAAGCTACATTGCACTACTAGTAGCTAACGAAAAAGAGATGTGAAAGTAGTGGAACTCAAAGGACATGAAGGACTCAACTTTTTCAGGGGCAATGACCTTTGCTTCTCGGACAGAGGTTGTTCACCTTTTTATAGTAAGATCTTGAAATACTGTAATTCCAGAGGGGTTTTCTTGTCATAAATAAGTTTGTTGCAAATTCTAGCCCAAGGGCAAATCAACAAGATAGAAACCACTGCTGTTAAAAGAAATGACCATATGGGACGTGTGTCTTCTGCAAGTTCAAGTTGCTGGCCAGTTTGTCTTCAACATTCCAACAACCTCTGCCCAGACAGAGGCTGGATGTCACATGCTCCTAGCAGAGGTTGTTCACCTTTGACGGCCCAGACTACATGCAATGCCATGCATAAAAGGAAAGGCATGAATGAATGAATGAACAAATGAACTAAGGAATGAAAGAACGAATGAATAAAAAAATGCAGCCATAGTGAATTTAAAAATAGCCATGCATAAAAAGAAAGGCATCAATGATTGAATGAACGAATGACTGAAAGAACAACTGAATGAATGAAAACACTGCAGCCACAATGGATTTACAGATAGAAAAGAATGTAAAGAGTCGGACAAAAAAGTACATTTGTACAAGGGACATATTAAGATAGGAAAGCACTGGAGTTTGGCTATTCTGTGAAGCCTTCACTGCACAAGTTAGGATGATAAGGCTCCAGTTGAGCATTTCAGATTCAGATTTTGTTTGTACAACAATCTCCTATGTTGTTTCCATCCACAAATTAACACATAAAACATTATAACAAAGCCGTTACGCTTTGTTGCTGTAATTGAGCGGTATTCAGGGACGAAAAGAAGCAAATCAGAAACACATCAGAACCGATTAGGGCGTGATTAAGAGTCTTATCTCCGCCAAGTGGGGGACTGAGGTCCGACCCTAACAACTGCTCTGACCTACAGGTTTGAAAAACGTTGGAGAGTCACACGCACACTGCCTGCTCCAATTACGCCGAACTTGACACTGAATGGAGGCATACCAGCACCACACTATCTTGCTACGGGACACCCACGCTCTAATGCCTTTGATGCAACAGATAATGAGTCATTAGCACGATAGGATCAAACATAAATTTGCCGAGCAATCGACGTGTAACTGCCAGTCAACAGCAGCATTGCAAATATTACTACGAACCGTAAATACTGCAACCAAATACGGTATGACCAAACATCCAATGCTCTCGTGCCTAAAATTAATCACCTGCACTTGCAGGATGTTTTTATTTTTCAGATTTCTTTTAACGGTCTTTCATTCAAAAGTTCAGTTAAACTTGATGCTTTGGATTTGACTAGCCACAGGCAATCTTGCTATAAATATTTGTATTATTTAAGTATTAAATTTTGTTGTGTATCTCTTAACATGTGTCACAGGACACACCGACGTCTGTAAATAACGCGTTGTTTGCGACTGAATTATGATAGGTTTGATCCTGGAAAGCCTGGCCGACTTGCTGCTTCCTTTTTAAGCTGAAGGCGAGCATCAGAAGTTTCTTATCAGCGTGCCTGCTTGTTAACAGGTACATGTCAGCTATGTAGAAAAGCTTAGATGCCGTCGCACCCTGACGCGGTATGCACTTATCAGGCAGGCATTTGTCCCAAGTCTGTCTTGCGACCTAAAAACAGCTTAAGAAAAGACCTGTCACTTTTTAGCCTGGCAGCCAGACCATCGCAGGCTCCGCAGGCCCAATTATCCTTATGGTGCTGGTCACCTAGACTACAATTATGGCAATAATATTACAAAGGCCGGCAATAACTGCATAAAAAAGAACTGTCACTTTTTAGCCTGGCATCGCATGCTCCTCAAGCCCAGTATCCTTTATGGATACTAGTATCCTAATTGTCACCCAGGCTACAATTACAGCAATAGTATTAGAAAGGCCGGCAATGATTAGAAAGGCAATGATTAGAAAGTCCGGCTAGTATGTCAGGAGAGGCTTGTAGTAGGACTGGGTCTGGTAAAATGCCCTAAGCTGGCCTGTAGAGAATGGTAACCAGGCTAGTCACTTTTGAGTTTCCTTACCTTATGTTCCTCTTTGATCTCATGATCTTGTCACTCGGCACTCCATACATCAACTTGATATAAGCCCCCCTCTGTAAGTCCTCCGAGATATTGCAAATAAATTAGCTCCACACCTTGAATGGGACGTTTGCTATCTGGATTTTCATAATATCTACATTGGTTTTGTCAGATTTGGAGCACTGTGCCAGAAAAGTGTTACAGTACATCCTAGAAGGAAGATTATTACAACAATCTGTACCAACTTTAAGTTCACCAGCAAAGTAACATTTGTGTTTTTGTTTAATCTACAAAATGCAACAGATTTTAACCATGAAATCTTGAATTTTATAAAGGTTGTCCTATGCAGTGTATATTGAATAGCGCATGTTTATGAATGAATGATATGGTCAGTTGGTTAAAGAAAAAACATAGAACATGCTGCAGGGACATACAGTAATCTACCACAGATGATAGACACCTGTCTAGTAGTGTATGGCGCCCATCTGGAGTCCAGTTTGTCAGGAGATCTAGAGATCATCCTAGCTCAGGTGTCACATCAAAACAGCCCCATGCTTTCTGGGAATGTGTGGAAAGGGACTGTTTGTCAAAATTGAACGATTTTTGATTCTTTAACCAGCTGCAGGTTTGACAGTTTTCTTCTATCACCAGCAGCAGAGGTTTTATGGATGTACCAGTAAAAATCCTAAGGGACAAAAATCAGTGTTACAATGTGTACAGAAATGACAAGGCTTGATGTAAAGGTATTTTATCTTGTGTGTAGAACAAAAAACAATACAGGCAAGAATAGAGTTAGTAACTTAGGGCAAATACTTAAATGCATTTTAATTACTGCAATGAACTGACATTTGGCAACTACAAAGATTTTAAAAGCATCAAAATGGAATAAACACTCAGTTGACCAGACTAGTGTTGTCAGCAATGGCAGGAGATGGCAGGAATCCAGCAAGGACCACTAACTTGCGCAAGGCCGAAGGAATCTTAATACGGCCGCTATTTGGGCAAGGTGGAATATCTTCCCCCAAAAGGCCAGCAGGACAGGCCAAAAGGGCCAAACATTGACTCTGACCCCAGACCTGCCGTGTCTTTGAAGTTAGAAACCTCGAATATTTACGAGGGGACCCCTGATTAACTGCAGGTTCCTCATGATTGGTTTTGGACTGAGTCTGTTAACATGATTTACAACACAATTTATGATGTTGTTATTAACTGAAATAGTAGAGTTAACACCCTGTCAGAGCATATGTTGGGCGCTGGTTACAATCTCTTGATTCAATTCCTGATTTTAAGATAGTAGGCCACACCATCTTGATATATTGGTTACCAGATAAATGCAGGAAAATTTTTTAAGGCATCTTATGAAAATCCTGAATCAGCATCTTGGGGTTCAGTCAGAACCTGAATGATACATGTACATTTTCTTTTTACAAATCAGAAAAAAAATGAAGCAGGTGCTGGTGTGTTACGCTGAAGGGCAGTTATACCGGCTATACTGATACACATACAGATACAGATGAATCTACAAAACAAGAAATTAAATTGGTGTGGCCTTCTAAAGTTTCGCAGTAAATGTTAGTGAAAAGGCACTGGCCTCTCCTCCGACTCATGGCATAGTTTAAGGAAGGGAATGAGTTCCTTAGCACCATTCTGACGTCGGAACTTTAGTCTCAGCAGGGCGGCGAGCGGTTCGGAGCCGGGAGGATGGGGTCAAGTGCAGCCATGTCCAATCTTATCGGGACTTTCATACATCACTATAGAAAGAGCTTCACTAGAATCTGCAGGGACGTTTGTTTGTAAGAAAAGGGTTTCTCAATTTTCTCAATCTTACGTAAGGCTCTATGTGAAAGCCAACACTGTGTATAAACTACAAGCACCATGCTTTGAGGCATCCTTTAATTTCGTGTCTGTCAGATATCTTACTACCACCTTTGCAAGATGCTTTCGAAAAGAAGTGGATATAATGGCTGAATACTAGTATCCTGTATGTACATGTAGCATACACGACTTGCACAGTGTTGACTTTTACCAATAGCTACAGTAGCTATGTAACCTTGAAAATCTCTTGTTTCAACAATATTTTCCAAATTAGTCAAATTTTTTTTTCCGCATTCTACACTTTCCACTCTCAGGTCTTTTGCATTCAAACTTGTTTTTGTCACATTGTTTCCTTCCTGCTTCTTAGAAAGCTGTTATTTTCACTTCTCTTCTGAGTAAGCAAAGTCATCTTTCGGTCTTGCACCATGCCTGGACACTTCTGTTTCAAAACAAGCAGGTCTACAGTTCCAACATCCAAGGATTCAGAAAATTAGGACAGAGCAACAAGCCAACATTACCATATGTCTCTGCTTCTAGATTAGCAGGGCAGGTGGAGGGTTTTAATGAAATTTGGAGGGGGAGGAAACTGGAATGTTAGGTAGAATGTATATACATGTAGTATAATAGATACATGCACATGTATAATAATCTCAATGTAAGGCATTGAGTTTTTCTACGGTCTATTTGTTTCCTATTTTATGATTTAACATTATACTGTATACACACATATACATGTCAGGTTTGGTAGAGTTTGGCTCCTTCAGGTTGACTTCCGAAACTCTCTAACACTAACAGCAAAGAAGCAAAGAGAATTCTTAGAATATACAAGGATGTTGCTATTCTTGGAATTTTCCACTACTACTAGAAAGAGATCAATCAAGTGCTGCCAGTATTGGGGCAAGCAACATAGGACCAAGAATCACTTCAGAAACTTTCTAACAGCAAATGAGATTTAAAACAACAATCATTTTAGAAGCAAAGAGAATTCTTAGAATATACAAGGATGTTGCTATTCTTGGAATCTTTCACTAGTACTAGAAGAAGATCCATCAATCGTTGGGGCAGGTGACATCAAGACCAGGAATGACTTCAGAAACTTTCTAACAGCACAGGAGATTTAAAACAACATTGAGAAGCTAAGAGAATTCTTAGAATATACAGGGATGTTGCTATTCTTGGAATTTTCCACTACTACTAGAAGAAGATCCATCAAGTGTTGGGGCTGGTGACATCAGGACCAGGGATGACCCACTTACTACCCTATAGATGTGTGAGGAGAGGAGAATCTGGTGTTGATTAATGTTTACATCTTGAGCTGGGCTGTGGGGCGGCAGGGAGGGGTGCTGACATGTGGCTCACTCCCATCAAACAACTGACAAAGAACTGGGGCAGTCATCACCACAACTGGGGCTGGGAGGGGCAGGGCAGGGGCATCTCTGTAGGGGGTAATTGATATTGATGATTATTACTCTGCAAACCTTAAATTTCATTTACATCAAAAATAGGAAAGGGTTTTAAACTTTGTTCAACAGTCTTTTAGATGTGCTAGTGTTTCTATAAAATGTTGTTTGGGACTGGAGGATACAGTTCAAAGATTCTTGGCACAATATTTGGATGCCGGTGTGACACCATGTTTGTGGTTGTTGCAGTAATCACTGTTTTCATCTCCAAAACCTGTTTGAGCAATTTGCCTCTTTGTGCTAGCCAGTTTTCATCTATTCAAAGATGATACAAGCAGATGATTTTATACTGGTCAGTGGGATTGGTTATGGTTAGATGTTTATATTTAACTGTTAGCTTTATCAATTTCAAACAGGAAACATACCTGCTATGGAAAAAATTTAGACGTGTAGGGACAACATGTATATTTTATAGTCTCTTCAGCCAATCACTCTTCCTTCAATCAATCATCACTGACGAAAACTGATTGAACATATAAAATTATGTACCAGTATTTTTCTCCTGCGGGCTACCTTTTTTACATATGCACAATCAATGATTGCAAGATCATTGGTAACATACGTTTTATCACCAAGAATATATGCTAAAAGCACTGTTGATGAAAAATGATTATGATGTATTTTCCAGTTTCCCGTGGGCCGCCAAAAGACTGCGCCGACGTGTACAAGACGGGACTGCGCGAGAACGGGGTTTACTCCATCACCCCCAACATCAACCAGGACTCCGTGGACGTGTACTGCGACATGAAGAGCGGCGGAGGCGGCTGGACGGTGATCCAGCGCCGCATGGACGGCTCCGTCAACTTCACCAGGAAGTGGGCCGACTACCAGCGGGGTTTTGGGAACCTAACCGGCGAGTTCTGGCTGGGGCTGGACGCCCTGCACGAGATCACCAGGAGGCAAGACTACGTGTTGCGGGTGGAGCTGGAGGACTGGGACAAGGTTCGGAAGTTCGCGCGGTACGGCGCGTTCTACGTCGCGGACGCGAGGGACAAGTATCGCCTCCACATCGACGGATATTCCGGAACGGCGGGCGACGCCTTCCGCTTCAGCGACCAGTACATGCACGACAACCAACAGTTCACCACCTACGACGAGGACCATGACAAGTATCCCTCTGGCAACTGTGGCCGGTACTACAAGGCAGGGTGGTGGTTCGACGCCTGCCTGGCCACCAACTTGAACGGGGTCTACTATCACGGCATGTACACGGGCATCCGGGACGGGATATTCTGGGGGACCTGGCACAACCTGACCTTAGACGACCTGAGGTTTTCCTTCAAGTATGTGGACATGAAAATCAGACCCGTCACATTCTAAACAGAACAGATCATTCAGCAGAAAACGTTGACTTAAACAGACTGAACCAACAACATAGTATTACGTGGCTCACTGTGCCTTTAGGTAAGCTTGTAGAAATTGTATGAATGTCTTGATTAAACACGGTGGTATATTGTAAGTTACAAAAACATGTACAAGGACAAAAATATACATACATGTATGTGATAATCTCCAAGCCAATCTTCCCATGGCAAAATTGTAACAGGTCCGTGACCCAAGGACCTACCTCTTGGCTAGCAGATTTTGCACAGTGAAAATCTGCTCGGAGATTATACGTACAGTGACTGTACTACTTAACAAAATGGTACTCTGTAGTATATACAGAGCTGTGCATTCCACATGCTAGAATCTAAGCTACATATAAACATGTGACGTAGAGTTGGTAGGAGGTTGTCATACAATGTTTCTGCCGAAATTTCTCTTGTCAAATTTTCAAACTGTCTACACATCTTGACTCCTCCATATACATTTACAAATCTTGTCTTATACATACTGTATTATTATTTATCACATGCTAGTATAAGAAATGAGACGATATGTACAACTGTAAATATCATGATATTATATATTGTAAATTTGACCAGTTATCATTGACTTCTATCAAAATATATCATTAGTTGCTAGACTCACATTATTTTCTCATTAGAAAGTTTAAATAGAGAGAATCCTTGTCAAATATACTAGTATCTATCATGGAGAGATGCTTTGATGAATTGAAATTACAATTGCATCTTAAGTATCTTAATGTCATTCTCATGCTAGGTCAAACATTTTGCTGTGTGCATTGATCATGTGTAACTAAGTTGAGTAATAAATGAAATTATTATTAAGTTGTTTCACTTGTTTTTTTTCTCCATATAGAAGCAAGCTATCCAAGCAATCTACAATGTATAATAGAATGCATTTATAAGCTCATGAACTATTGAATAGCACTTGTTTTCTAACACAAATATACAGTAAGGAAAAACATATCAAGGCAAAACTATATCCTGATACAAGGACTATAACTTGAGTTTTTAAAAGTTCATCATTTTGTTATATCAAACATGGAAAAGTTTTATCAAATGCTTACACTACTACATGTAGTAAATCATGGAACTACAAAACTGCCCCCTATCCAAGAATGAGTGCACTGCATCAAACTCCAACATCAAGTGCAGAGACAAGTACTGAGACTCAGTGACCGCAGTGTCATGAATTTTTCATGTTGCATGAGAAGGGACGGCGGTATCCATTGCAAAGCACACACAGTTGTCAAAGGACTTTATGAACTATATTGATATTACCATTAGTACATGTATGTACATGTACCAGACAGCTCCCAAAGGATGAAGCGGAACTAGTGAGATATTAAACCTACCAATTAAGAAGCTACCAATCTGTAATGGGAATTGTTCTTCTTTGGAAGCCATATAGCTCAAGCAAATGACTTAAATCAAATGTCATAAATTCATCAAGTATAATTAAACACTGAAGCATCGTGGGGTCAAACCTCTGCACATAAAAGAACCCAACACAATTATTCAGGTGAGTAGAGGTGGCCCAGTGTGCTTGGTTAAAAATATGACAGCCTTTATGCTGCATTGCCTTGCTATCAAAGCATCATGCTTCACCTCAGCCCTCAGTTGAGGATGACAAAAGAAGAAGTATCATGATGTATAGTTTCTAGCTAAAAGCCTTTCCTTTTCTTTGAATTCAAACTGCAGTACTATACATTTATAGGATTTCTGGCATGGCACAATTCCAATTTGTCTGCACTTACTTTGTACCCCCCTGCAACTATTTCTCTTGGACAGTCATAGACTGGAACGCGCTTCCTCAGAACATAACTGAAATCACAGAAACTAACAACTTCAATGATGCCATACTCCTGCACCTGAGCCTGCACCTGAGGAAACAATAATGACGCAGCGCACTCCCCCTGTGCATCCAAACCCTAACAGAGGGGTGTTGCACAGTATCTTCTCAAGAGCAAGAACAAGGACTTACCTCGTCTAGTACTTGGAAGGCAGGGCTGGCGGACACCTCGACTTGGCTCTCCTCTAGAGGCACCACCCGGGGGGCCAGGGGGGCGATGAGGGGCTCCTCGGGTGCCTGTGGGGGGCCCTCGTCCACCTCGATGTGGGGGGACAACGGGCGCCGCTCATCATCACTCATGGTGATCTCAAGTTCTACTGTGACAAAAGAGACAGTTGGTACAATGTGTACATTGAATATAAATGCTGCAAATTTAATGTTGTTTCCATAATTGTGATCATCACATTCTAAAAAGTAAAACACAACAACTAGCTGGTGTTAGTTCTCGGTAATAGAGGCAATATACGTAAATCTGTACATATTTAGTAATATCTATGCATGCACAATTCAGAATTCAAGCAACATAAAAAGTTCATTACATTTCGTTACCAACCATTCTGAACTAAGCTTATGTAAACGCTAAGCTGAAGAAGAGATGGGAAGTACCAAAGTTTGAAACGTATTTCAGCACCGTTTACAATAGTAGAGCATCCCTGAATTGCTGGAATCATTACAAGACATATGTACAGTGTGCGTAACATTGGTTTCTAGGTCACGTACATTTAAGTTTTTAAAGTTTTCTCAATATTTCAACTGTTGTTGATGAAATCGACAGTAAACCCCCTCCCCCTCCAAAACAGTTCTTCGATGACCATGCCTAATTTGTGGCTTTACATGACAAATATTTCAAAGTCAAGACCTTAATCTTGCTAAGTAATCTGTATGCAACCTTACCTTATAGTAAATGTGTGCTCTTGGCTCTACAAATTGTCAACAAACCGAAAAGTTTCCCACACCAACTTCTACCATTCAACTTTACTCGGATCCAACATGGCGGCCAAAATAACAGTTACCATGGAGCGACGTAATAAACTTAAACAGCGCCACCAGCGGAAGGTATAAGAACTGCAGAAAACAATTTTATTCTGACATTTGCTAATGGAGGGATAGAAACAAACTGGACGAGATTTAATTTAGGATAAGATTAAGGTTTTAATGCAAAAAAACATAAAAGTGAGGAAATGTGTTTAGAAACCAAGGACCAGTCTATGTGAAGCCCTATAACAGCCGTTAGATGAGCAAACTGCGTGCGTCTAACTGTTATTTCTATCCAGAGAACATCGAGTCGACCTTCCAATATTTGTACCAAAAAGAAACCGGCTTTGCAGTGGAGGTAAAGACTTGAGGCTTGAAATAAAGGTAACGTGTAACTAAAATTTGTGCTTGGTGGTTTCATCATAGAATTCCAATGAAAAGTTTATTTACTGGTCCCTCCCCTGCAAAGCCCTGATGAAGAAGTTGAGAGACAATATAGACAAACTCCGTGCGTCTATTTAACAAGAAAACTTAATGCCTATAACGTTGCATGTCCTTTCCGCATAATTTGTAGCCTCTAGTCTCTACCAGGCTTCGGGAGGAGGCGGAAAGACTAGTAGACATCGATCGGCCAAATAGAGAGATAACATGCCAAGGGAGTTGGTCTGCTGGAGAGAACAGTTTGCCGCTCCCGGCCCTTGGCATGCTACTGTATCTACTTGGCCGATTTCTACTCTTTCAGTCGCCTCCCGAAGTCTAGTAGAGGCTATGCATAATTTGCACATCCGGATCACTTCCCGAGTACCGGTTGCTAGGCGTGGCCCCGCCTACCTGACGACGTGGCGGCGTGTGCAACGTCAGCACCGAAAAATTCCCGTCATGCAACGGGCTACCTGCTGGAGCCAAAAAGTCGTCAAATAATACAATTCTTTTGTATCAAGAGCATTCAAATTGCAGAATCTTGCCCAAAACTTGGTTTTGATCATACCTACATTTTTAACAGGGTGCAAATTTCTCAGAAATTGCCAGAATAAAGGCACTTCCGGGAGACAAGTGTCGTCAGAGCTTGGTCACGTGACCATATCCTTTCCAAGTCGGCCATATTCCTGGGCAGCACGGGTCGGGGTGTGCTGTTCCATTTCCACCGATTTTAACCAATTTTCGCCCGAATTTTGTAATTTTCTCAAGCCATTAGGTCAACAAAACATCCAGGATGGCAAGTGAGTATGCGATTTAGTGCGGTTTTCGCTTGGGCTTTGATAGTATCCAGTTAAAAAGGCGCAGAAACAACATGTTGTTCCTCACCGGCATGTGAAGTAGCCTACGTGGCGTCTTGTGTCGCACTCTGTGTCGCACATAAACTTCGCTCTAGCTTTAATTCTAACCTTTTGCACGTATTCTTCTTCCCCAGTAAAATTCCTGGAGGTGTTGAAACCTTTCTGTGCAGTCTTGCCAGAAATCCAGAAGCCAGAACGGAAGGTATGTTGCCTCAATTTACTCCAGATAGGCAAGTTGTAGTCTGCTGAATCAGCTGAAGAAAACAAATTTCCCTGTTTTTCGTTTCCGGTTAGTAAACAAGTTTACCAGACCCTCGACCCTCTGTAATTCTACCCTGTCACCGAGGACATATCGGGGTGAAAATAACGTAGATGGGTTTAAAAGATGTTATACTTAAAGTCGCTTTAATAGTGTGCGTTTCATACGAAAAGATTCAACTTCAAGCAAGGTGTCATCTGCAGAAATAAAATTTGAATGGAAAACGCTTCTCCATATTTTAAATGAAAATAGGAGGTACACCGTAAACTTGATAGGTTTATTGATAAGAGGTCTGATTGAGCTCCTCCAGGTCTACATTTTCACCAGTTGAGTTTTTGTCAGGAAATGGAGTATGGGGACACATGTACATGCCCACCAGTGGGTTAATTATTAGACAACCTCATTATGTACTTTGAGTTGTCCATGCATGAAAATCATATTACTGATGACCAGCCAAGAAAGTTCCCAAGAAATCAGTCCAGCTTTTACTTGAGTAGAAAAAAAAATGCATACAAGTTTATAAAGCTTTATTGCAACACAGAAATTATTGCTCCCATATGGTGCCATTTTTGCTTAGACTTTAACCCCTGACCAACACAAAATCTGCTGTGTGTGTTCAAGACACCTCCTGAAGGTTCTAGAACTTAGAAGATTCTGGAACCTCACCAACATCTAGAACCATGCAGTTTTAATATTTACAGTAAATGGGGACAGTCGGTAAATTTCAATCTGCTGTGTTTGTTCAAGACACTTCCTGAAGGTTCTAGACGTTTCTGGAACCTCACCAACTTCTAGAACCATGCAGTTTTAATATTTACAGTAAATAGGGACAGTCGGTAAATGTAAATCTGCTGAGTGTGTTCAAGACACCTCCTGAAGGTTCTAGAAGATTCTGGAACCTCACCAACATCTAGAACCATGCAGTTTTAATATCAACAGTAAATGGGGACAGTCGTTAAATTCTGGGAGTACTACTGCATGACCCCCTCCTTTGAAATATTGCCATCCATATTTTATCACAGACAGCTTGCAATTTCACAGTCGCTGGTGGAATTTAACTATTGATAAACAATGAAAGTTCTGGTGTACATGGGTTATCAATCCAGCAAGTACTGAAATATTGAAATTCCCATTTATAAGATGTATATGTTACTAGTATGTGGACTGACCTAGATTTTCATGTCAATATATATAATTAAAGATTATAACTTGCTTCCAGGCTACACTAGTACGTATTACTAATATGGGGCAAATAAAATGTGAAGTAGTCTTGGCCCTGAGCCATTTTTTTCTAACAGGAGGCTATATTACAGTTACTAGTAGTACATGTTTTGTGGTTGTGGGAGGATTTAAAGTCCATGTATTTTGCATCTGCAGATCCAGTTCAGAGAAAAGGTGCTATGGACTGCCATCACCCTGTTCATCTTCCTGGTTTGTTGCCAAGTAAGTCTATCAATTCCGCACTATTCATAATTTTATTACTAAAAACTTAGACAACATTTCCATCTAGTCAGTTGATTGATATCTTGTATATGTATATGTATTTGTACCATCATTGTTATAATAAAAACTTATTGTCTCTTAGTCAAAGTTCTAGGTATTTACTGCAAATCCCTCAACCAGTGTTAAGCAGTTTAAAATTGTGAATTCTTTGTCAAGAACTCTTGTTGTTTTCGCCAACTTACTTTGATGAAGGAAGAAATTAACATCTGCTCTGTTTCTTTTCCAGATTCCACTGTTTGGCATCATGTCATCAGACTCTGCAGATCCCTTCTACTGGATAAGAGTCATCCTGGCCTCCAACAGAGGTGAGATGCCAGCCATACATTTTATGCAGTACTACTTTGTACTGTGTGTACCTAAATTGTAAAAGTACAGGTCTGTACCTTAACATAATTGAGTGTATCTTCTACCCGAACAAGCTAAAACACAAGTGGATACCATTAATTTTAGACTTGACTTTTGTCAAGTGCCAGCTCTCCTCAGCTACTTGAACCACAGTGATATCCCGGAAGCATGTAGCGTGCTTCCGAATGCCATCTGTAGGTATCCTGGCAGGCCTCTTTCTTGAACACTGTGCAGGAGAGGGCTGCCTCGCAAGCCTCCTCTTTCCCCTTTCTTGGGAGACTTAAAAGATGCGAAATCTGAAGAAAAGTGTCTTTATTGCAGGAACTCTGATGGAGCTGGGTATCTCGCCCATCGTGACGTCGGGTCTGATCATGCAGCTGCTCGCTGGTGCCAAGATCATCGAGGTCGGTGATACCCCCAAGGACAGAGCACTCTTCAACGGAGCACAGAAATGTAAGGATCACTTCTTTTATGTTTGTCCTACTCCTAATCTCCAGCAGATGCCTTTCAGTGGCACGCCAGTGTCCAGCTGGCAGTGTCCATTGGCCAGAGGAGTGTCCATTAGCCACCTCTGACTCCTCTGGCTAATGAATACTGACTTGCCACCAAAAGGGATCTACTTGGAGATTACCTACTGCCATTTTTCTGCAGTATTGCAATAGTCGTGTTATCCAGTTGACACTGTCAGTATCAAACCTTTTTCATGACTACAGAACAGGTAAAGTAAATGTGCCATCTGTTGAAACTTGCCCAAATTTTGTATACATATTGTTTACAAAAGCTCCCTAGACTTTTTAGATGAAGTGCTTGCAAATTTTTAGATGAGGTGCTTGAAAATAGGCAAGGGTCATTGGGTGCTGGATAATGAAATGTTGCCTGTACTTCCATTGCAGTGTTTGGTATGATCATCACTGTCGGCCAGGCCATCGTGTACGTTATGACTGGCATGTACGGAGACCCTGCGGAGATCGGCGCTGGTGTCTGTCTGCTCATTATCATCCAGGTAAACATTCATTCTTACAGATGTTTAATGTCTCATGAGAAATTTCAGCTACTTTCCAAAATGTTTGGAGTTCTGTATCTGTATAGCTGATATAACCGCCCTTCGGCGTAACACACCAGCTTTGCAGGTACGCGGCGCGGTGGCAGCTGGCTACATTACACCGATCTACTTGTTACACCTTACCCTTGAACATCTAACTCTAGGCATTGTTTAAAGCTATCTAATGACAATGCTCCTACTGTACTTGGTGACAGCGAGTTCCACTCTGCGACAGTTCTAGGAAATAATGAAAGAGTTACCTATTCCTTCTTCAGGGCGGCTAGCTAATTCTTTACTTTAGCGAGCCATTATAGATATGGGGAAAATTCGGTTCTTGTGTTTGATGGAGAATTTCAACTTAGTTTCTTTCTCGTACCAGCAATAATGGCCTTAAATTTAATTTTGATTTTCTGTCATATTTATACAGGGATCCCCACTCATTGATGACACTGCTTGTCAGTGATGCCCTGTACAAACTTGTATGCTAGTGTTTCATTGCTTTTAGTTACAAGATGATGGTTGAGGTCCAGCTACTAACTGTGTCTCTGTTTCTTTCCCTTCAGCTGTTTGTGGCAGGTTTGATCGTGTTGTTACTGGACGAGCTGCTGCAGAAGGGGTACGGCCTGGGATCGGGAATCTCCCTCTTCATCGCCACCAACATCTGTGAAACCATCGTCTGGAAGGCCTTCAGCCCAGCCACAGTCAACACTGGCAGAGGTGACTTAGCCATTGTCTCTCTGGGACACGGAGTCAACATTTGCTAACAGTTAAACTGGAAAATAGAAATTTTTCCTCTACCTTTAGTCTATTGGTCTTTCTCACAGACAGTGCCTTTTTTCTTGGCAACTGTTAACATTGACACGATTTTCCAACTTTTTGCTTCCTATGAAATACGCGAGTGTAAATCATGGTACCCTTGGTTTTGTCTGTTGATCTTTTTCACAGACAGTACCTTTTTTTATCGTAACTTTAACCGCTGAAAATGAAGGATTACACTCTAGCTCAGTACTCAAAGTTCAGTTTTGAGAAGCCTTTGGAAGGAATCTGACATCTTTTCTTCAGCTCTGAGGGGTAGCCATGTGGCTTGGAGGTCAAAAGTTCCAACTCTAACCTTCCTCTCCCATGTTGTACTTGTAGGTACTGAGTTTGAGGGAGCCATCATTGCCCTTTTCCACCTGTTGGCCACGAGACAAGACAAGGTGCGCGGGCTGCGCGAGGCCTTCTACCGCCAGAACCTGCCCAACCTCATGAACCTGCTGGCCACAATCCTGGTGTTTGGCATTGTCATATACTTCCAGGTAAGATATTTCTATTTTCCTATACGTTTTAAAAACTGGCGAGTGTGATGTTTTTGCTAAAAGAACTTCATTTTAGGCAAATAATAAAGCTCGGGGAAAGATTCAAAGGTTTTATGGAGAGTTCTCCAGTTAAGTTCTTTTTTGGCTTCAAGTATAGTTGTGCTCTTGTGATATTTTTCATACAAAAAGTCATGAATTTTAGCCAACTTATGAGCTTGACAAAAGGAACAATAGGTCTTTTTCTAAGTTTTTAACTGTCTTGTACTTTCCAGGGCTTCCGTATGCCATAGTTTTAGTGAAAAATTTCTGTGAAAAGTTTCAACAAAGAAGGAATTTTTTATTCTTTTAGATTCTAAACCACTGTTGTGTACTTTCCAGGGCTTCCGTGTGGACCTCCCGATCAAGTCGGCCCGCTACCGTGGCCAGTACAGCAGCTATCCCATCAAGCTGTTCTACACCTCCAACATTCCCATCATCCTGCAGTCCGCCCTGGTGTCCAACTTGTACGTCATCTCCCAGATGATGTCCATCAGGTTCAGCGGAAACTTCTTCGTCAACCTGCTGGGCACTTGGCAGGTAGGCACTCTCTCTGTATTACTTGTCATCACAGAGTTGTATTTGTTGTAAAAGAATGGACTTTTATGTGTCACTATAGACCTACTGTAAAAGTATCATTGTATTCCAGAATTATAGCCAGGATTTTATTTTAGCTCGATTTTAAATGGTGGGGGAGATAACCAATTGGAGGGAGGTGGGGTGGAAGAGGGTTCTTGGTCCTTTCACTGTGCAGAAATTTAGACCATGTGTTAATTACATACAAGTTTGGGGGGGTCACACCAACATTTGTCCCATTTCATCTGGCATTATTGCACAGGTAAATACTTTACCATTACACTGGTCAAAAATAATTGTAATGGTCCTCCATTGGCCAAAGACACTAAAATGCACTTGCTGGAACCCTGGTTGTTTGAAAATGGCCAGTGCTAGTAAGCCATTGGTCTAAATCACATCTATCTGCTGCCCCACAGGAAGCTGGAGGTGGTGGCCCTGCCCGGTCCTACCCTATAGGCGGCCTGTGTTACTACCTGTCGCCGCCTGAGACCCTGGGACACATCGTGGAGGACCCCATCCATGCCGTCCTCTACATCATCTTCATGCTCGGATCCTGCGCCTTCTTCTCCAAGACATGGATCGAAGTCTCCGGCTCTTCAGCCAAGGATGTAAGTTGTCTTGGAAGTTTAAGTGTATCTTATTCTATATATTATATTATATGAATGGTTTATTTCAATACAAAATACAACTACAAATCCTACAAAACATACAGTAGCAGCCATTATCAGCTGAAATGATGTATGATTTACAATACATGGCTAAAAAGCTCTGATTATGGTGATTTTTTTTGTTTGAGCCTTTTTTTTATTCAAATAAAACTAAAATCAGTCTGCTGGTGACTTGTCATTGAGGTTATGAGTGAAGAGGTCATGGTCAGACAAGATATAACAACATACATGATTGAAAATTCTGAAGACAATGGTTTTTGTGATCAAGTGGAGATTTTTATGGTTGATCTGAAAAAAAAATTCATGATTGGAGTCTTAACAATAGTTCTGAAGACAATGGTTTTTCTGATCAAGTCGAGATTTTCATCGGTCTGAAAAAAAATCACATCTAGCATTTGTTTGCTGGAGATTCACAACAGGTGAAAATGAGGAGAATGATTCCTAACCTGATTTAACCCTGATGGTTGATCAAAGTAAACGCACTGATTCACCTGTGATCATGTATTGTCAGACTACATAGAATGACATGGAAGGTAAAAATGAACTACATTTGCTTCAATTTTTGCCCCTTCTCCTCCCCAGGTTGCCAAGCAGCTGAAGGAACAGCAGATGGTGATGCGGGGTCACAGGGAGAAGTCCATGATCCACGAGCTCAACAGGTAAGGCAAACATTTCTTCTTTTTTTTTTTACTATTTAGTCATCATATAACAAGACTCAAAGGCCACTTTTAGTAATAGGTGTGACCAGACGTTCTGTCCAGTGTTACAGGTTAGATGAATAGGACTCTTCTCCCTAAGTGATTAAGACAAGCTCAGTTAGTGAGAGCTAAGCAGTTGGGGGCCATTACGAGAAGCAGGGGTAACAAAAGGCTTTGGCTCCAAAAAATAAATGCAGTGGAGCTTCCGGTAGCTTGAAAACTAATATACCTATTGCCTAGTAATGTTGTAATTCAATATTGGTCCCCTAAGTGGTGTGGTCTTCTTTTTCTTGAGCAGTTTTGGCTGTTTCTCATCTTCAAACACATGATTGTAGTAATTAAACTCATATTCTTTCCCAATCTTCAGGTACATCCCTACAGCGGCTGCCTTTGGAGGCCTTTGTATCGGCGCCCTGTCCGTGTTGGCAGACTTCCTTGGCGCGATCGGCTCCGGTACCGGTATCCTCCTGGCCGTGACCATCATCTACCAGTACTTCGAAATCTTTGTCAAAGAACAGAGCGAGATGGGCGGCATGAGCACACTACTGTTCTAATACGGCTGGGACTAAAAACCACACAGAGAAACGGGATGTAATTGCAACGACTTAGGCTGAAGTTCACATGAAAATAGGGTAATTTATGCTGATCTGAACATTGGAGTAGACTAGGAGCACTTAAGAGGAAAAGTAAGAAAATACAAAAACAAAAGACCATGTCTGAGGGTTATGTTGAAATGTATGTTTTTTTGACTCGGTCAGAACCAAGAGTTTATTTTGAGAGGCAAGTCGGGGGGGGGGGGGGCTTGATTTTTTTTTCATTTTTAAGTTTCGTACACCAGATCAGTAAAGGTATAGATGTTTAGTTTAAACTGTTCAATTAAAACATTGACATATCTTTCTGTTCATAACCACCACTTGTACTTATGAACTCAATACATGGGAAGGGGGGACAAGAAGTGGCTTTTGTTTCTCATCTACAAGAGAAATAACATTGATTTTATACCAGGTGGAAAATATTTCCTGTTGGGAAGAATCGTTCCTGGCGAAACAACCTATGTACGTAGTCTTAGATGCTAGTTTTAGGATAGATCGCAAGAGAGAGAAGAAAACATACTGTAACTTGTGAGGGGTAACTCAATCTTGTAACTTGTCATTTTGTACCGCAAGTTCGGTAAAGCCTGACGTGACTTCCTGCCCATGAGTGATTCCAGTATTTGTCTGTATTGTTGCACCATGGGTGGAGGGTTGGGATCCCTACATTGCCGCAGCAGGCGTTCTTGTGTCTGTGTATCTTCCTTATTGTGTTGAAAAGAACATGGTATTTTACTGGAATTGGAGATGAAATATTTTCAATTGTTGGATGGATGGATGATAGTAGTGGAAGTGGAATTAAATGTCTCTGAGATGCCTTGTCCCAAATTGAAATGTTGTGTTTATTCATACTCATAGCAAGCTCAGGACTATAGGTACGATGAAATGCTCATATTTAAGAAAAGATAACCTCTACCAAGTAACCCTTGATTTAAAAAGTGAATTAGAGATGATTGTCCTTTATTAAAAGTTAAGGTAAAAATGTAAGTAGACTTAGTGTATTAGTAATTCTGTTTGGCCAAATGTTAAAAAGATTCCATGTTTACCATATTAATACGAAATAGTAAACAAAAACAACCCTGTTCTTCCAGCACATAATCTTTAGCCTAAAATGTGAGTAGTTTTACCAAATAACAGCCACAAAAACTTAATAACTTGAAGTAATATACTACAATTCTATGATGCTCGTAACCACAACTATCAGAACATAGCTGATCGCAACATCATAACACTAGTATACCAGGTAAGGGCCCAGTTGCATTCCTCATACAACCATTTGATGACAACAAACTGAGGACAACCTTGTACCTTGGTCCCTTAACCCAGGTAAGGGATGTGGGGGCACTGCATATATCATTCAAATATCAGTTATTACCTGGTGTAGATGGAGACCTTTCATGGTCTTGTAAGACTGACGAAATGCCTAATATGTTACCAAAAAGACTGACTTTGACTCCTGGCTGTTGGTTCTGCCTGCTTCAAAATCCTATGACATTAGAAACATACAAATGTGACCAGGATCTATAAAACTTACCATGTACATGCAAATGTAGATACATGTGTACATGTACATGTAGCACCAATAGTGTTCATCACTCAAGTTCAACAACCCCCTATGGCCTATAAGAGAGAGTCCAGCACACTGGTGACCCATTGCGAGGGTTCTGCGTAGATAAGTGTGCCGAGTTCGTCGTCCACCCTGTCCTTGTTCTCGTCCTTGGGACAGACGTTGCACCAGATGAGCAGGTCCTCCACCATCCCCTGCATCTCCTGAAACTCTATCTCCGCCGTCTCCTCAACTGTCCTGGCTGCACGGTCTGAGGTGTACTCCAGATTCCTGCAAAAGGCAGGGGCAAAACTGATGAGATTAAAGCCACCTTCAAATATATCACTCTAAACGAACAAGTGGTCTTTTGCCTTAAACAAGAAGTTGCCCAGCCAGGTTCAGGGGCAAAAAGCATATTGAGTTTAACCATCTCCCTGCTGCCTAACCCTGTATAAACCAATATAAATTTGGAGCCAAGCATGACAAGATAGCATCTCCGCCGTCTCCTCAACCGTCCTGGCTGCGCGGTCTGAGGTGTACTCCAGATTCCTGCAATTATGATGGTTTGGGTTCAAGTTAACCAACATTACAAATGTACAGTATTGCAGTCAACCAGTAATACATGGTCAGCTGAATGGCACTGTTGACAGAACAATGGACTAAGTCTATCTCCGCCGTCTCTTCAACTGTCCTGGCTGCACGGTCTGACGTGTACTCCAGATTCCTGCAAATGGTGCAAGGCAGGGGCAAAAAGAATTGGGTTTAGAAGTGGTCCAGTGATTTAAGCATCTTGGAGAATAGCAAGCTTATCCTTCTCCCTGCTTCCTAATCCTCAGGATCTGTATCCAAAAGAAAAGAAACGCACACTAGGCTCAAAGTTATTCTGTGTGCACACAGGATAACTTTGAGCCTATTGCGTTGTGGGTCTGGCACCCAGGCTAGGTATAGGCTTGCCTGACTGAACCTCACTTTTCACGGCTCCCTAGTTAGTGAGCCGGACAAGAGCTTGGGTTTCACAGGCTAGGTACAGGCCTGGCTAGGTAGGTAAAAAGAAGAGTAGATTGCTCCTGCCAGGGAACATGTGCAGTGCAGGTGACATGATATACTAGTTCTCCTATGTCCTGGCAGGTTTGATGGATTGCCTAACTAGGTGAGATGCAGTGAGGAGTCAGCCTGCACATCCAGCCAACACAAACACACCAGGACACCACCAAGTGTTAGCCTGGGTGCCATCCGATTTGTAATGGCTACCGATTTTTTCAGGGTAGCCGTTACAAATCGAATGACACCCAGGCTAACCAAGTGTAGCCTGGGTGCCAAAAACTGGTGTACATAAGCGATAGATAGCCCTAATATCCGCTACAGTATCTACCCAAACCCTTTATCTTTCATGCCAGCGGTAGCGAAGAGATAATTTAAGGGGGCCCGCATGCCCTTTTCCGCAGAGCGTAATCGCCGTTTTAATTCCACGTAAAGCGTTGTAGCCACTTGGAATTTATTGTAAAGCATAATCAAGAGGTTTCCGAATTCAGTGTAGAGCGTTGTCGGGACCCCCCATGCAGGCCCCCATTTAAGAGCCAGGGTGCCAATCGGGCCTATCACTCCTTCTCCTTCGCGGTAGGGGCTGGCACCCAGGCTACACCAAATGCAGCATTCCTGCCTCATGTAATCGGAGACAACGTGTCATGACCCTCAACTTATCATCCATGCTTGATGACACATATAGACCATATTGTCCAGTACTAATGCATTGATGTAAATGGTTTGGTTAAACATTTACCACTGTGTGTTATGTCAATACAGAAAATGACTTTCAAGTGTAATTCTACTATGTTTAACATTATAACAGTAGTAGTAGTATGTCAATACACAAAAGGATTTTTAAGTGTAACTCCACTTTGTTGGACATTACCAAAGTTATGTCAATACACAAAATGACTTCCAGGAGTAATTCTAGCTACTTTGTTGAGTGAAATTGAGCTAAAACTTTAGCAAAAGGTCACCTAACCCTAGAAGTTATTACAGTAGTGGAAACGAGACAGCTGGACAGAAATGACTTAACAAATGCTATCTTTTCTTAACAAACTTGAACTTTTGAATTTGATATACAACAGCGATATTTGTTGAAGTTAACAGTCCAGAAAAGGCTTGATGATATACAGCTAGCAAAAAGCCATTTCCTGGGTAGTCAAATTACATTACACCACAGATATAAAGTCTGTGGTATTCTTGAACTAATGCAAATTACTGATGATGTGGAACCCTGAAGTGCAAAGAAGGATCAAATCACACCTCAGTATTTTTCCATATCTTTAACATAAAACAACTGGAAATAAAAACCAGTATCATTTCAATTGACATACATATTATGCAACCTGAGATGTAGGACCAGGTAGACAGTTCTATATTATGTTTTAAGGGTCTGCATGGGAGGGATCTTGGCAATGCTTGACAGTAAAATTCAGGCAGTCTGGCAACACTTGGTGGTGGCATAAGCTTTGACAATGCTGTACATTACACTTTTACATGGAAGTTTCATCTGGTGCCAATTGTTTCTAGGATTGTTGTGCGAGAGAAAATAATTCCAGCAATAAAAGAATGATTGACTGACCTGTTACCACCGATAGCGTCCGACATTGACTTCCTGGCGACCTTCACGTCGATTTCAGTGCTGCGAATGAGGGGGAACAGCTGAAAGTCCAGCACACCTGACTGGATCAAGGTGACCTTCAGCTCGCTGATCATCCTCTGCAGCGTCTTCAGCTCCCGGTCGGCTGCCAGAAGTTTGTAGTTCGCCGGAGAGTTGTCGAGTTCAATCCTCGGTGGATACAGTGTGTAGATGCAGCTCTGGTCGATGGCACACTCTGCATGGCCCCAGTCCAGGCTAGCATTGCAGGGTCTGGAGCTGGAGGGAGGTTCAGACTGTGCCAAACAGGCACGGAGAAACAAAAGTACACACAGCACCAAGGTAAAGGCCATCTTCACTGCAGCTGAACGGCCCTCCAGAAATCAGAACTCAAAATGCAGGGAAAAGACGACCAACTTGAGACCTGGTCAGGGTCCCTCCTCTAGTTGATAGATGGCAGCTGCCCGCCGGAGGTGCAGACAGAAAAGTCCTGAGCGCAGTGTTTATACAGACCGCACTGCCAGGTTGGCTCCTGAGTCCATATCAGAAATCCTGGTCTAGCCAGGCACAGTCTGTGCAACTTGTTGAGTCTCTATACTATAGGGATTCGATAAACTGCTTAGAGTTAAAGAGGCCAAGTGGAAGAGGCCCACATAGCACTCTCTACACACTGAGACTACTTGGTATGAATGTCCCAGCCAGACAGCCTTCCAGGGACTTCACTACTGCCAGGGCGATTGGGGTGGCCTGTCACTGGGAGATTCCAAGTGGGGCCACATGGAACCAATTTACTTGTCCTCACTTCTTTGAAGGTCTGCATTACCATAGATGAAGCAGAACATAACTTTGTAGTTTTATGTGATGGGTTAGACACGAAGCAGTACAAGTTCTAACAGTGATTGTATGTGGTATGTATGTTGATAAAACCCCCACAGTTCTTAAATGTGAGATGATCCTGTCCCAACGAGGTGACAGGGGTACAATTTGTTTGGCTAGACCCCATGATGTCTGGGTTAGTGGGCCTCTGTAAAGCATTTGAAGGTTTTGTGCATGTACCTAAAATATGTATCAGTCAATTCTTAGGGAGAACAATTGGTAGGAACAAGTAAAATCAACAGCCAAACTAAAAGACAATTGAATTTCTTGCCTGCTTCATTTTTTTTGGAGTTCCAGAACCTCATACCTTCAGTGAAAGATTATATTATTAAATGTTAACCTTTATGGCATATTATATATGATCATGCAAATAAGGTCTTCATTTGCATAAATTATACCAGTTGAAGATCTTCTCTACCAAAATAACACAACAAACGAAGGCTATTGCAGCATTTTCTTGTCTATTAGTTTTATGCCACTGAGGCGCCCCTGATTTGCATGATGTCGAATGATTACAGTGTATTTTACTGAACTAACAATGCTACTAGACTATGAAATTTACCACAGTGACTATGATAACAGTACTATATAGTATTTTCCCATTAAATTAATCATCGAAATGAGGTCTTTGCTTAACGTAATTTATACACACGTACATTGAATTCCTCTATTTCTCAGTTACACATGTTGTGTGTCTGCGTATGCGTTCCCTATTTGTCTATCCGCTTCACCTGTCCACAAAACTCATTAACTCTTTCATGACAAACAGACAAACATTGACGAACAAAGCAAACCCGGAAGAAAGTTTAAACACTCGATGAACCTTGACCTAGATTAACCGTCATCCCTTTCGAGCTGTACGAGGCACGGTTTCGTGGGTGGATGTTCCATTCCATATGCTTTTTTTTTATTATAATTGAACAAACTGAACACAAAATGGCATACAAATCTAATTACTTATTTGACTCACTTTTTTACCATTGTCTTGACAATTTGTGGCCATATTTGCTTTGCAAAGGTCATGATAGGTCACTGATCACCTGATTAGATGCGCACGCGCAGTGAGCAAAACAAGAACACAACGGGACACCATTACCCTCGTGCAGTGTTTTCCTACTTTGCATCATCCAGCAGTGAAGATTTCAAATCTAGTTGTTCCAGGGCCCCAAGCAGGTATAGTAGGGTGAATTTTGATCCTTATTAGATCACCTAATAGCTGTACCAGTTCAGTAAACTGTATCGACCAGTAAGACTTCTCTAGGTTGGACTTTGTGTCGGTACAGGTGAGTCTATCAATATATTGAAACCAGTTACCGCCAGTTCCTTCAGGGTAAGTTTTAAGTTAACTGGGTTATGCCCTAAGACAATAACTCCGTAGCTGGGAAATCTCTTCTTAATAGAAATCTAACTGCTGGGAATCGGGTCAGAAATTCACCTGAGGGTATATTTGCCCCCCCCCCCCAACACACATACCGATTCAATTGTATCAGTTCAACTTACAAGGCTGACAGAAAAATAGAAATTATTTACTCAACACCCATGAACTTCAATGGTCATGTACATCCAGAATATTGTCAGATTTTCTCTATTTTGTTAGAAGTCTTATTGCAAGGAAATGATTGAATGTGCATTAAAACCTAGGCCATTTTCATCCTGTATGATGTGCTTGCATACATGTGTACATCTGTTAAGGTATGTTTGGAACAGATTGATTGATATTTAATTTGACAAATATCATTTGTGAACTATCATATTTTCCATTACTGTCTAGTTTATGCAGTGTATACAAGCAAGTATAGAAGAGAACAAAAAAACATAACTGGATGTGAGCAGGAACATACTGTGTAATAGCCTGTAGATTATAGCACATTTATACAGTAAAGTAAAGTAAACATGATAGTATTAACTATTAAATTACAATGTCGCACAAGTGTAATTCAAACTATTGAATCAAAATTTATCATTTTCTACTGCAATGTTCTTTCTATAGGGACACAATGAATCATCAAAAACCAAGGCACACCACGATCACTGGAGAGACAGTGGATGGTGGAAGTATGGTCAACCTACCAAGTCAGGGGTCATGGACAGATTCTGGCATTCAGTCCATGGGACAACATACTGACAACACTGGCATCAGCACAGGTGTAAGTGGACCATCAGGCAACACCATGGGGGGTGCCCGGGAAGAGAGGGAGAGCAGTGGCCCACAAGAAAAGGAACCACAGCCTATAGCTAACATTGACACATGTACAGAAGGATCAAACATTGAGACTGTGAACAGTTCATCAGCCTATCGTGCACTTAAAGCTACCATGGGCAATGTACAGAAGGAGGTTAATCAGATATCACAGTTGTCAACTGAAGTAAACAACATCATTAACATCACATTCCAAGAGGGCAGCAGTAGTGATGTGGACCTCACCCAAGTGTTTGAAAATCTTAAGCTAATAATTCCTAAGGCAGTAAAGCTTGTGGAGAGTGGCCCAGATATCCAGAACAATTTTCCATTTTACAAAATAGTCAACAGAGACACAACCAAAGCTGACAGGACTACCCAGCGGAACACTGTGGATACAAAGCCCCCACCAGCTGAAACAGACTTGAATCCCAAACATGTACAGAGTACGACTAGTAAAGGGTCAATTTCCCTCTTGACTTCAAAATTGGCATCCCTTTCTTTAGATGAAACTAAGGGCCAGGCTGAAACCAAACCTCTGCAAGCCCAGGCTGAAGAGTCTATACCATCTGAGCTTCTTACATGTACATCCAGAACACCATACAATGATGCATTATTATCTACTCAACCACAAGACAGTCAAGATACACAGCTCACAAACAAGCAAAGCGGCCACTTGACTGAGCCTGCAAATTCTACAACTGCAGCTGCAACTTCATCTGCACCTGTGTCAAAGTCTGGAGCCACTGCTGTCACTCATGATGAGGTAAAGTCGAACTATTGACATGTGTTTGTTTCACTTGAGGGCTTATGCCCTTTTGATATTGGCAATATAAATCATAAATCATTAAAAATTGAATTGAATAAAAAATCTCATACATTTTCTGGCCTTTCCCCATTCTTTCTAATATTGCAATGAATATCTATAAGACTTAAGAAGGATAGGCAGACTATTTCACTATTTTCTTTTATATTCCAGACCCCACAATTTTTGGCTGACATTGATGGAATCACTTCACTCGATGAGGATTGTATGTACGAGTCCGTTTCTGCACCAGCAACAGAAGCAGGTAAATCAAAAAAATTTTTGAGGGGGGGGGGTCAAACAAGGACCTCTTGGTTCTGAGCCTGCTGTTCTGACCATTACACTACATGATGCCACAAGCAGATGAATAAGCTGTATTATTGTCACCATACTGAAGCACTATGATGACTGAGATGGATATCAAAGAGATGGAAATCTTCCTGGATCTTGCTATGCCATAAAAGATAGGCTCAGTAGCCATAAAACTGAAATAATGAAGTACATGTATTGAGTAGTTACTATATTTCCTGCTTTTCTGCATAGCATGCCAACTGCGGAACAGCAGTGTCAGCACCGAGGGCCCCCAGCAGATCAGCTGTACCAGCACCGAGGGTCCACTGCAGAGCAGCAGTGCCAGAACCAAGGGTCCTTTGCAGAACAGCAGTGCCAACACCGAGGGTCGTCAGCAGAACAGCAGTGCCAACACCGAGGGTCGTCAGCAGAACAGCAGTGCCAGCACTGAGGGTCATCAGCAGAACAGCAGTGCCAGCACTGAGGGTCATCAGCAGAACAGCAGTTCCAGCACTGAGGGTCATCAGCAGAACAGCAGTGCCAGCACTGAGGGTCCTCTGCAGAACAGCAGTGCCAGCACCAAGGGTCCTCAGCAGAACTGCAGTGCCAGCACTGAAGGTCCTCAGCAGAACAGCAGTGCCAGCACTGAGGGTCCACTGCAGAACAGCAGTGCCAGCACTGAGGGTTCTCAGCAGAATAGTGGTGCCAGCACCGTGGGTCCTCTGCAGAACAGCAGTGCCAGCACTGAAGGTCCTCAGCAGAACAGCAGTGCCAGCACCGAGGGTCCACTGCAGAACAGCAGTGACAGCACCGAGGGTCCTCAGCAGAACAACAGTGCCAACACTGAGGGTCCACTGCAGAACAACAGTGCCAGCACTGAGGGTCCACTGCAGAACAGCAGTGCCAGCACCAAGGGTCCTTTGCAGAACAACAGTGCCAACACTGAAGGTCCTCTGCAGAAGAGCAGTGCCAGCACCGAGGGTCCTTTGCAGAACAACAGTGCCAGCACTGAGGGTCCACTGCAGAACAGCAGTGCCAGCACCAAGGGTCCTTTGCAGAACAACAGTGCCAGCACCGAGGGTCCTTTGCAGAACAACAGTGCCAGCACTGAGAGTTCTCTGCAAAACAGCAGTGTCAGCACTGAAGGTCCTCAGCAGAACAGCAGTGCCAGCACCGTGGGTCCTCTGCAGAACAGCAGTGCCAACACTGAAGGTCCTCAGCAGAACAGCAGTGCCAACACTGAGGGTCGTCAGCAGAACAACAGTGGTGCCAGCACCGTGGGTCCTCTGCAGAACAGCAGTGCCAACACTGAGAGTTCTCTGCAAAACAGCAGTGCCAGCACTGAGGGTTCTCAGCAGAATAGTGGTGCCAGCACCTTGGGTCCACTGCAGAACAGCAGTGCCAGCACTGAAGGTCCTCTGCAGAACAGCAGTGCCAGCACTGAAGGTCCTCTGCAGAACAGCAGTGCCAGCACTGAAGGTCCTCTGCAGAATAGTGGTGCCAGCACCGTGGGTCCTCTGCAGAACAGCAGTGCCAGCACTGAGAGTTCTCTGCAAAACAGCAGTGCCAGCACTGAAGGTCCACTGCAGAACAGCAGTGCCAACACTGAGAGTTCTCTGCAAAACAGCAGTGCCAGCACTGAGGGTTCTCAGCAGAATAGTGGTGCCAGCACCGTGGGTCCTCTGCAGAACAGCGGTGCAAGCACTGAAGGTCCTCAGCAGAACAGCAGTGCCAGCACTGAGAGTTCTCTGCAAAACAGCAGTGCCAGCACTGAGGGTCCACTGCAGAACAGCAGTGCCAACACTGAGGGTCGTCAGCAGAACAACAGTGGCAGCACTGAGGGCTCTCTACAGAACAGTGGCAGCACTGCTGCAACCAATGCTGCTCCACTACAGTAAGTACTCTTTGAATTACATGTACATATGGATAAAATTATTCACATTAAGATAATTTTGACTTGCATCACACAGAAATACAAATTAGCTAATGATGGAATTCTCTGCTGTATTCATTTTCAGACGGCTTGTGAGTGTAAAGCAGAACAAGGCAATCAAGATCAGCTTTCTCAAGAAGATTTTGCCGATTTCGGACTCAATCGGAGCTGTAGTAAGGATTAATGATGTTAATCATGTGTACAGATTTCACGGAAATTGCTTTATGCTTGGGTCTAAATCTGCTCCTTACGTCATTACTTGTCGACATGTGGCTTACATCGCAAAGCTGTATTATCGACATGGCCCAGGCAATGCTTATGTAGACTTTGACTACCCAAACCCTAAGAGTAGACAAAGATTTCACATTAAGCGTGTCAAGTTTACCTCTCCTACTAAGAGTTTAGACTATTGCCTTCTGGAACTTGAAGATCCAGTCAATCAGTTCCAACATTTGCCACCAGGACTTGGCCATCTGGTCCGACCCATGGGAAACTCAAAGAATTTACACATAATGGGGTATCCACAATGGGACGATTCCAAGTACATAGACCCTAGTTGTCCTATATTGGACCCTGATAATGCAACGTCACATTTAGCTCACCTTGACATCACATTAATGGATGAGGAGTCTTGTCTGCTCGAGAGCCATGACCGAATAGTTTACTCTACTATCTTTGGGAAAGGATCCTCAGGATCACCTGATATTGACGACAGAGGTTACATTGTGGCGATGCAAACTAGGGGATATCCGTTTGCGGGGCAAAGTGAGGTAGAACAGGGAGTTAAGTTATCAGCAATTCGAGTTGACTTGAGATACAGAAAACCTGAACTGTGGGAGGTATTATTTCCTCTTGAGATGTACAATCCGCCATAGATACAAATGTACTAGTAAAAGGTCAATGAAGATCACTAAAATGGCTAATATAATATCTACTAAGTACATACACTGGAAATGTAGATAGGACATGGTATACATGTATGTAGTATATCATACCAGTGCCATAAACTGTTGTGTTTGTTTGAAGAACTGCAACAGTAAGTATCATGGTACATGTAAATTCATATGTACATCTCTGTATATGATTGTATGTATGTATTCATGTATGTATGTATGTATAGGCTTTGTACAGAAACATGTATGCGTTCACAACCATAGGGTTAGCGTATTCCTTTAGGTAAATACTAATAGATTTCTACTAGACATAAGTATACATCACCTTGTTCAGCAGGCTATGCAAATGACTACTTTTGTAATGTACAGAATTCTATATTTGTAAGATTTGACAAGACTGATTTGACAGGCTCACTAGCTACATGACTGTACATATACCGGTAGTAATCATTCTACCTGGCTAGGCGAAGTAAAAAAAGATGCAATCCAGAAACAAAAATGTGTATCTGAAACGACTGGACTGAAAATTAAAGTTACTTTTATCATCAGTAAATGTATGTCGAGAATGTACTGTTTTCCACCTTATTCAAAGATGAATACTTTTTAGCAAGCCATACACCTTCCTGTACAAGAAGCAGTCATTGTAGTCAATAAAATGGCAACCTTTTCATCATCCTTCCCTGTCCTTTATGTGCAGAAAACAATTCAATTCAGGCCGTTCTTGCATTGTGTTGTTACTACTTATTGTTGCACAACAACCTAGCATACTGAAAGATCTCTGTATTACATGTACTATCATAAACAGCATACTACCAGTAAATTTCCAGTCCAGGTGACATGAACACACAAGACAAACACAGAAAACAGTTAATAGACAGACACAGATGAAATGAGTTCACATTTTGTATTTACAACATTCACCCAAATCCACATCAATCTTTGGAATGTATCCTTTACATTCATCAGCCAAGCCATAGTTAAGGCTTTCAAGTCCAGGTGACTTCTATTTCAAAAAGGAATCCAGAACAAACCATATTTTATCAATATCATTGCTTGCAATCCTTGTCTTTTTTTTCTAGTAACTTTCCTTACTTTCAAAGTTAGGTTGCCATATTACGGTAGTGCACCTTTTGATAATAAATTTGTCGGCTGCTCTTATTTTGTGAAAGAGACTGGCATCTACCTTCAAAGAAGAACAAGTTCAAAATAATATCTTCACTGGAATATTTTGCACAATGCTGGTTACAATGACCAACAAAATTTATACGGCTTTTGGAGTTGCTTGCTACGGGTTCACAAATGCATTTCTTTGATAGTTTTGCAGTTATGAGAGGATGGACTTCACCTTTTCGCTATACTGACTCAAAAAAAAGAGTTATGAAGTATTTCAACTTTATCTGTGCTCAAACATTATACAGAAAATACAAAAGATATCAAACTTTCAATTTTACATCATTCTATCACTAAACGTACGGAATACAAAATATACTAACGGACAACACAAGATGCAAAACTCCACAACAGACACGTCTCCATCCCCCCCACTACTTCATGTACTTATCCTCCTGTTCCTGGAGGACCTTAGCAGACGTCTTGGCGTCAAAGAAGAGCTGACTTATCTCCTCCACGTCTTCCCTGTTGATCTCCTCCCTGCCGTTGATCTTTGCCATGAGGCTGGCAGGAGTCAGCAACTGGACGGCATACCTGTGGGAGAGGAACTGGGGTAAGTCTTTGTTTGTTTTGCATAACCGGTAAACCATCCTTATAGGACTTCATTGAAGGTGACTCAAGAACTGTACCCCTTCTCAAGATCAGTAGGGTCATTGTGAAGAATGGGAGACAAGCATACTTTTTGTCTGAAAAATTTACCCTAGTGAGATAAGCAGGTGAAAAAGGACAGAAACTGGTTGGTAAGTTTGTGAATAAAGAGACTCCTTTTATGCAACCAAGTGTTTTATTCAGCCGACGTTTGGTGACCACCTGTCATCTTCCTCAGGGCAATTATGACTGGCTCACATTGGACACACTGCTAATAGATGCAGGAAAATATGAGTTCAGTTCACTTTCATCCTCATACGAGGTGCCACTTCTGATGTCACTCCAGACATCTCTGTCTAGTATGGCACACAGCAGGTCGCAATCCTTCAATCCAACTTCTTCCTCTGACCTTTTCTTATACGAATATAAGAACCAATAAAGTAAGTTGGCATGGCCTAAGCTGTACAGGTTAACTATGTCCCCACCTGAGGGTTGCGTTGACCCCCTGCTCTCCCAGCATCTTCAGGGCATCAGGCTGACACTGGATGTTCTCTACCTGCGCACGGACCTGCAGGATCTGGGAGACACGATAAGAAACAATGTCTTTTCCTTTTGGACTTCAACCGACAAGGACACATAGCATCAGTGTACCTTTGTGATTAAATGTAAGCATTTGAATGTCCATGATTCTGTTTCAGATAACTTTCACAGGCAGTTACAAAAGAATCTAAATTCATTAGAAGAAATGTAGATAAAGCTGCTTAAGGGGTCAAAGCTGAAATACAAAACTTGTCATGCACTGTTCCTACATTTGTTAGATGACTTTTTATATTCAGTTTCATGAGGGACTATGACATAGTTCTAAGAACAAAAATAAAAGGCATTACCTGGACCATCTCCTCAGGTGAATATGGGAGTGTCCTGATAATCATCACCCTGTCCAGCAGATCAAGGGGAATGCCATGGGGGGATACAATGTCCTCCGTACCCCTGGAACAACAACAAGATGTTTATACATTGTAGCTCGACATCTACACATATACTAGGATCAATCCTTGACAAAAATACCGTATGGCAGAGAGTACGGAAAAACGACAACACAAGAACAGGACATGGGAGCCCATCCCTCTCCTTCCACTGCCTCTTAACTCCCCATCCAGAGTAAGGAACTCGTTTTACACCAGGGTGGAGTGAGGAGAGTTGACAAAAGTGCCTGTCCTAAGGACACAACATCTAGTCAAGAATGCAAGGGATCGAACCCGTAACCTCTTGATCACAAGTGTGCTAGCTTTGCCACTCAGCCACTTAATGCCATTACCTTTTATTACTTACCCTAAATTCAACACAAAATCTAATGTGTATTCAACAACTCTATCACACAAACTCACTTGATGGTACACTTCCCCCTGTTGGTAGCGAAGATGACGATGGGAGCGATGGTGGACTCGAGCGCCCGGTGCAGGTACGTGAAGCACTCGATGTCCAACATGTGAACCTCGTCAATGAACAGCACCCCAGGAACAAGCTCGGCGATCCCCTGGTCAATGTACTTGTTCACAACCTTGTTGATCTCTTTTCTCAACTTGTCTGGAAAAAGGATTGAACAATTCAGTCAAACCTGTACTAGAGACCACCTGGCTATTGATACATAGACAAACATGCATTAGTGACCACCTCTAGATTAGGACCACCTGGCCATTGATATACAGCCAAACCTGTACTAGTGACCACCTCTACATAAGGACCACCTGGACATTGATATACAATCAAACCTGTGGCCACCTCTGTATAAGGACTACCTAGACACCGTCAACACTTTTTGGGGGTGCTTTAGAATATCAGCATTCTTTACCATTGACAGAAAGAGCAGTTAAGACTCCTCCCTAAAAGGACTGCCTGCTGTAGAACTGTCAAATACTTACCAGTGATTTCTGTCTTCTTGGGCTTGGTGAGTTGACTCATCATGGACATGATGTCCTGTCCTCCCTGTAACAGTAAAAAAGGCCATGGATAAGTAGTAGGAATACATCACTAAATATCAACTTGACTTATGAAAGTTGGATCTTTTCCATGCTTATAGAAAAGTAGTACTGTGTTGACAATACAATAGAGAATAATTTTGCCACCTGCTTTTTGTGTTAAAGTTGCCATTTTGGATAAACAATGTAATAATATTGACTTGTTTCTCTGATATTAAATTTTAATTAACTATCTGTTAATCACTTACATGAGTTAGGAATGTTCTACAGTTGTAATGTTCCTTATTTTGGCAAAATTCCCCAAAATACAAGAGGGGTTGAAGAATTTTGCATGCGACTATAACAATGATAGTGACTAGTACTGCTTTACCTGTGGCCTAGCATTGGCTATATCCAGGTCATGTAAGGTGACATCTTGGATCACCTCCTTCTTCTTGTGTACATCACCTTTTGGCAGGGGCACATATTCTTCTGCCTACAGACAAGAAAGGAACTTCCGATCACAAACATCTACAAAATTCTCACCATCAAACAAAAGTAATAGACTAGGAAAAGAGGAATTTAGTTTAGTATCACTTGTAAGTATTATATAGAATGAATGTCCTTAGGCTATCAGGCTAGTCATAACAGCACAACAGCACAAAGAATTAAACAGAATCTGATACACTAGACACAAGGTTAATATCCTAGTAGTTACAGTTGTGCATGCCATTTTCAAGCAATTTATAACAGCAACAGCTTTTAAATGATGCTGATCTTTAACATTAACTTCACTTTTGGGAAATTTAAGATTTGACTTTGCGCAAGCTGAAAGTAGCAACAAAAGTTGTTTACATGTCAATCATGAGGCCACACATAAAAATGTGGGCCTGAGCTGCTGACATGTAACTTCCTCTCCCTCTTGGTTCTATTCAATAGTGGAACAGTGATTACCACATTGGGGTAAGCATAAAGAGGAGCAATGTGTATTTGTAATGTAAGGTACACTTAAAAGTTGATGTATTTTGAAAGATCTCACCTCAAGATCAAACTCTGTTGCATAGGTGTCTGATCGACCTTGTCTCTGTCAAAGACAAGAAAAAGTTAGCCAATGGTTATCAACTAAACATTGAGTTAGACATAAAACAAATCATGATGAGCAACTTTTGCCTAACTAATTGATGTGTGTCATATGATCATAATAACGCCACCCATCAAACAAATGCAGAACTACATGTATACAACAAATACAAGTGACTAACAATTCTAAGAGATCTCTTGAGGACTACAATACTGTAAAGCACACGACTGAACAAGCAATAACAAGTTTAGTACACAGGAAATTTCCCTCCATCTGCAATGCAATATCTGCACTTTCTGGACAAAATCTTTAAAGGAAAAAAATAACATACCTTGACTGCACCACTGTTGGCTTCTATGTAGATGACATCCCCAACTTCCACCTTCTCTTTCTGTAGGGTCTCATAGATGGACGGGTCCAACTGGGAAAAAAGGGGGTATAAATCTGTGACTAACCCTCGAACTCATATGGCACAAAAAGTAATACCTAACAATTCTGTGACTAAGAATGTCACGGTCACTAATGAAAGATAGCAGATGTTATCTGAAAGTCTGGCAGAGAATTTATCCAGTAACTGGATTTATTTTGCATTATGTACTGTTCTGTCTGGATGTCTAACCTTCATCAACACCTTATTCTTTAGATGGAGGACAATGACACAGGTGGAAGGCAAGAAGGGAGAACAGAAGGACATAGGGGCAGAAGTTGAAGAATGGCTAAAGGTTAAAAGGAATGGTTGGGTGTCCTCCTTTTGCCACTTAGCACACACTACAGCATCAGTGTGCACTGGGGCAAAGGTGTTTTTATTTCCCTCCCGTTTCTATCCAGCAGTGCATCAGTGCAAGACTGGGGTAAGCAGTGAGAGGTTCCTCAAACCGAAAAACTAGAATACATGTAGCAAGAAACAGATGTAGCTTTACAAGTGTCAACATATCTTAAAGAATTAATCATCTAATCTCGTACCTTAAGCTGCTTTGTGCCCTTTGCTGTCTTCAGTCCTATAATCACATGACTCACGGTCTTCCCATATCCTGAAATGAAGTAGAATTAAAAGCTTCAATAGAAACCTGACATTATTTTTCAGTAATGCACATATTAATGAGTGCAGCCCTTCTGAGGCTCAACTTAAAATGGAATGATGCCAAGTAGCTACTATACTATCAGATGATTTTCTGAAATAAGTTTGGATGGTGATTTCCAACACAAATTTTTGACTGTTCAACACCAGCCTTTGCCAAACAATGAGCAAATCTTAGGACACACAACAAAAGAACAAAGTTTTCTGACAGACCTCCCATGGGGTTCTCAGTCTCACATGGTGTCAGTTCCGTCACTTCTCCTTCATACACTTCCTTTGTCTCCTTGATCCTTAGACCTAAAGAAATAAACAGAGATGTCAAAACCTGTATCAACTTGTAACCTTTGCACCGGCTAAGTTATAGGATTACAAAAGATACTTGTAGTAATATCTTTTGTACATTTCAAAATCACCATGGTACAAACATGATAAAGTTAACTTGGTCAAGACGTGGGTTAGGAGTGCTTCTGGTATTATTGGTCACCGTTCATACATAGATAGTAAGAAAAAGATGACAGTTCTTTACATTGCATTTTTGACATCCGTAACAATGCCCCAAACAAGGAAACAAATTCCCTGCTAAGACAGTCTTGTTCAAATAACTGTGTTCTGTATGATATCTGTTAATCGCTATAACAGCCCTTTGACATAACACACAAGCTTCACAGGCAAGCGGCTTGGCAGCAGCTAGTTTTAGTTGCACATCTATATTTCATTGTTGGGCTGGGCAGCATTTATGTCTCACCAATGGCTCGTCTGAAGTTTTCCATGAGTACTTCTGTCTTCTTGATCTCTGAAGAGTAGACTTCACTCCCCACCATGGGACAGAAGGGCACCTTACTGCCCAACTCCTGGGCGATGGCCAAGGCAAGGGCAGTCTGGGAAAAGGAAATTGTTGTTCAATAAATTTGTATGGGTATCTGTGACTGTATAGCCAGTATAACCGCCCTTTGGCGTAACACACCAGCTTTGCAGGCATGTGGCGTGGCGGCAGCTGGCTACATTTCACTGAACGACTTGTTACACCCAACCTTAAGTTGAACATCTAACTCTAAACATTGTTTAAAGCTATCTAGTGATACTAGTAATGCCCCTATTGGACTTGGTGACAGCAAGTTCCACCCTGCAATAGTACTAGGAAATGGTTTAACATTTTTGCATAAACTAAGCAAAAGTATCATTTCCTTAGAGAGTGAAAGTAGGGCCATTCTAACACAAAGTCTCCCACTGTTATGTTATGGTGCTGTGCTATAAAATGATGCTGATGCTGACCTTCCCAGTCCCCGGTGGTCCAGCCAGCAGCACTGCTCTTCCTGACATCTTCTTGGACCTGATCATTTCCACCACAACACCCGATGCCTGGGATTGAATAAAGACAATGAGTGTTTATTATAATTTTATCATAAAAGGTAAGTGCGTAAAAAGGATATGTTATCAACTAATGGACCTAAGTCCTTACTAACAAAGGGTCACATTCAAAAGCTTTAAGTTCTTATTGTTTACAGTGTTATCTTAACTGTTACATATATCTTCATATCTTCTTTTTCTCTTTAATGCCCACATTCATTTATGATTATTCTGGCATATCATAAGAATAATCTATTCTGTGAAATTACACTGTGACAGTGCTGTGCCAAAAAGGCATCTCCAAATTCCAAATTAAGTATTACTTCTGTACTGCAGAATATCTTAAAACACTGCATTTTTTCCCCTTCTACCGCAAATAATGATTTTACAGTATGCCCCCCTCCCCCCTGGGTGTTTTGCTCAGGACCGGTCAGAACTTGTCCCAGACTTGGTTTTCAACTATATCCGAAATCTTGCCAGTTTAGTTACTATTGGTACAACATGAACGTTCCTCTAGACAGCGGGAGGCCAATTACACAGAAACAAATTTGGAACACACGCCAAACGACTAAACTTATCGCCGTCGTCATGACGCCGAGAATCGCACATGGCGGACGATTTTCCAGAAGATTCCCCCCTCCCTTCTCACCTCTCTCGCCAGCTCCTGCCCGACCATCCCCGCCGCCGCCTGCAGCGCGAAACCGTTCTCGTCCAGCCCCAGGCCCTTCACATGGCTGTGCGAGGCTATCCGCTGGGTCTTGGTCGTGCTTTTCACTTCTTCTATCTTCATTTTTCACCTCCACTAAAAATTCGCGACGCTGAAATTCGACAAGACCGCCTTTTGTGATGGGCTGTGATGCCCGCAGTGCAGCATGGGATGCCACCCAACTTTAAAGAGATATTTGACACCAAAATCCTGCAAACATCGGTGATTTTGATAACTAAGAATGTTCTTGATATGTTCTAGATCCTATATTGATCATATGTGGCCTATAACACAGTCAAATTCACATCAAAAATGTTATTTTTGGTTTACCCAGCATGTGACGTCACTCAGCGAGTCCACTCCACTGTGGGGGGATGGAAAACTTGGAAGTGTAAAGTTTGTTTATCTCAAAATCTGTGAATTTCTCGTGTGCACAGGTGAAATCTATCTCCTATTATTCAAAACTGATTCTGGTTTCTTAACAGTTAACGTACTGTTTTCTATCGACATATTTTCAAAGTTACACGTGCATTTGTTTGTGTTTGACCTTTGACCGCACTTCTCACACGATGGCTGCCGTCCTGAACTTCAACGTGGGTGTGTTGGGGCACATCGACAGCGGGAAGACGTCCCTCTGCAAGGCGCTGAGCACCGTCGCCTCCACGGCAGCCTTCGACAAGCACCCGCAGAGCAAGGAGAGGGGGATAACGCTGGATCTTGGCTTCTCGTCGTTCTCTGTGGACGTGCCAGGTCACATCAAGGAAGCGGATCCGAAGTATGAGAAGTTGCAGTTCACACTGGTGGACTGTCCGGGACACGCCTCCCTCATTAAGACCATCATTGGTGGTGAGTGATTAGGTGATAGTTGACAGAAGTGCACTCCCTTCCCTTCAGTATGCTAGCTGGTATCCACTGCCCATGCAGCTCATGCTTATTATGTGGAAGATTAGTTGCCCCCTTGTAATATAGATAGAAGGATACAAATATATGATTAATTTCCAGTCTGAAGTAACCTATTAAATAATTTGATAAAGAGATTGGTCATGTCATGTTATAATATACAGTCAACAGTTGATTTCTACTATTCTTGCTCAGACTCATTTTTGCGCCATTTTATCTTATCGATCAGTGCCATTCGATTTGTAATGGCAAGCCTGAGACAAATCAGATGGTACCCAGGCTAACATGCAATACAAATTATGACCAGCTTGGCATCTTCATTTCTACCTTAAAGTACATTATAATTTAGTCCTTAAGAACCCAAACTTATCACAATATCCCTAATGTTTAACAAACAGTGCTTATGATTCCCCAGGTGCCCAGATCATTGACCTGATGCTGCTGATTGTGGATGTGACGAAGGGCATGCAGACCCAGACGGCGGAGTGTCTGGTCATCGGAGAGATCGCCTGTCAGAAGATGCTGGTTGTGCTCAACAAGGTGGAGACATTTGTAGCCTGGCTGCCAGACTGTTGCCAGGGCCAGTATACCAGCTAGCTCCTTGGCTCCAGGGCCAACATGCCCCCATGGAAATTTTACTGCAGACACTCCTCAGTTAGACTCTGAGCTGGCTCTTACAACAGACTAGGCTAGGGATGTGGGGGTCTAACAGCTATGTTACATAATGAAGCTAGGCCCTTTCAATTGCTGTCGTATGAGCCAAAATCTAGGAGTATCTATTGTGACTTACTCTGCCACAAGGTACTAGTGTTACTATGGGTTTACAGGTCAAGTTTAGAGGTTTGGGAATACACTACAAACGTGTGTCTAGGTTACAGGTAACCATTGGTCGCTACTAATATGTGCAAGTCAACAGGGTCACAAATATGGAACTTTTAGGGTTGACCACTGGTTGCCATCTATCTATAGTAATACTAATAGTGTGCAATTGATGGGCAAGAGATAAAAGTTCAATGTTTTCACTTCCGTATCTCAGGTGGACCTCCTGCCTGAAGCCAAGAGAGACCAAATGGTAGACAAGATGAAGAGGAAGATGGCCGCTACACTCAAGTCAACCAGGTTTGCTGATGCCCCCATCATTGCTGTGGCAGCCAAGCCAGGGGGACCGGAGGTAGGCTGGCATGTTGTTATACTAATAGATACACAGATGTGAATAGTTTCATCAGGTTGGTAAGTCACTGAGTAAAGAGACAATGTGAACCAGTCAGAACTGCCCTGAGGAAGGTGACAGAAGGTCACCGTAATGTCGGCTGACCAAAAGACTCGGTTGTGTGAAAAGAGTCTCTTTACTCAGATACGTACACACGTATCAATTACATGTATGCTTCTGTGTCAACCTTCTTTACCTATCCTTTAGACTCTAGAGCTTGGAATTGGACAGTAGATTGTTTACAGTTTGATATGCATGAAACTTAGTAATATGTATCAGCAAATTATTTATTATGGTCATTCTAAAAAGCCCTGAAATTAACAACTACATGCCTGTTTCAGTGTTTGTGGGAAATCAACATCTTCAGTAGCCAGGAAAAAAAAGTTTTCTCACTTGTCATGATCATTTAATCCCTTTGCAGGCTCCTGACACAGAAGCTGTTGGCCTGCAGGAGTTGATGGACCTCCTAAAGAAGCACACGTACCTGCCCAGTCGTGATGCCAGCGGGCCGTTCATCTTCGCAGTGGACCACTGTTTCTCCATCCGGGGACAGGGAACGGTCATGACGGGAACGGTTCTCAGCGGCACCGTCGCAATCAACGACAACGTAGAGGTGGCCAATGTCAAGGAAGTGAAGAAGGTGGGTTAGGGCTGATTGAACTTGTTTTGTAATAGAGTGTCAGGAGGATTGACTTTTTTGTATCATCCTGGTGTTACATGGTACAGCTTTAAGTCAACTAAGGTGTAGGACAATCTGTGATTTACAAAAGGTTTTTTTAATGATGTTTTACAATGTTTCTTTTTTTAAAGGCATCATGTGTATTGTTGTTGTTGTGTCCTATTGTACATAGTACTTAATAGCTGCAATTAGCCTGAGTGTCAGCCTTGTTAGCTCGTCCGCTCCAGTGGTGCAAGCCAAGTGGGCATGATTTTTTTGGGGGGGGGCACACTGGGCTACCTAGGTTCAAAAATAGCTTGCCCCAAGTAAAATTTGGTTGCCTGGGGCAACTGGGCAACCAGGTATTTTGCATGCTGCTGCAATGTACTTTTTTTTAATAAACCAGTCATTCATTCATTCATTCATTTATTCCAGGTGAAGTCCATGCAGATGTTTAAGCAGCCGGTGAACTCGGCCATGCAGGGGGACAGGGTGGGCGTCTGCGTGACCCAGTTTGACCCCAAGCTGCTGGAGCGGGGTCTGGTGTGCACCCCGGGCACCCTCGCCGTCATCCACGCCGCCGTCCTGAAGGTTTTGTTTGTTTATTTGCATCTAATCAGAGAGAACAATAAAAAGAACATATTACAGTAAAATAAGATATGCAGGGGAAAGATAAGAAGCCGTAATGGCTTGTCCGTGATCTTCCCCCGACTAAATTAATTGACAACTGTACTAATGGTAACAAATCAAATGGTAATAATAAATAACAATAAGTAATTGAAAAAAACGATCAATATGATAATGATAACAAATCAAATAGTAGCAATAAATAACAAAAGTAATTGGTAAATAATGTTAATTAGAAATGGTATGTTAAAAAATAAGTTAACAGAGGTACAGAGGTTTAACTGAAGTACAAACATAAACAAAAAAATTGAAGCAATAACTCCAGAATATATAAATGAATTTTAAATTTAAATCTTATATTCAAGGTGAGGAAGATCCGGTTCTTCAAGGGAGCGTGCCAGACGAAGGCCAAGTTCCACATCACCATGGGGCACGAGACTGTCATGGCGAGGGTGCAGTTCTTCGGATCACCCTCCCAAGACGGCGTGGAAGAAAGCTCTGAGGATCCCCACTTTGACTTCACAAGGGAGTACATGTATCAGGACGAACTCTACGGCCAGGAAGGGGCAGGTAAAGGCAAGGAGAACGGCACAGCAGACACAGAGGCAGCGCAAACAGTCCCCAGCCAACAGTGGGCTCTTCTGGAGTTTGAAAAACCCGTGATCTGTCCCCAGAGGTGTCTTGTCATCGGTTCCCGCCTCGACACGGACATCCACGCCAACACGTGTAGGTTAGCCTTCCACGGTCAACTCCTCGAGCCCCTGGTGGACAAGAACTACGGCGAGACAGTCCTGCCAAAGCTGAAGGTCTTCAAGAACAAGTCGAAGGAGGGAATGGTAGAAAGGATGACAGACGAGTACACGGTGATCGGGAGATCGCTCTTCAAGAAGGAGACGAACATTCAGCTGTTTGTGGGTTTGAAGGTGAAGCTGTCTACGGGAGAGGAGGGGGTGATCGAGGGGGGGTTTGGGCAGAGCGGGAAGTTTAAGATACGGATTCCACAGGGTCTTCAGCCCGGCACAGTTCAGCAGCTCTCTGCTGCAGGGAAGAAGAAGAAAGGGAAGAAGGCTGACGAGGAGGAAGCTGCAGCAGCACAAGTTCCTGAGAAAGGACAGGGTGGGATCCAGGTCTCTCTTCAGTTCAAGAAGTACATCTTTGATACCAAGAAGAAGATGATTCAAACGTAACATAACGCACATGCTTAAAGATTTAAGTTCTTAAGCTTACAATTTTTTTTCTGCATATTTGATATTGTAAAAATGACATCCATGATGAGTAAATATGATTTGTTTTTGAATACCTGTATTTAAAAACATCCCTTTCCCTGAAATGAAACTTTTGATCAGCAATTCAGAACGAAAGGTCAGTAGTTGAACTGTTTTCCACCTGGACCCAGTGTCAGCTTTCACAGTACATGTATAGCAATGTACAGGGTAATAACAGAGTACTAGTCTATGGTGGTCTGAGTAAATTATGCTTTGAATGGCCCACCTGATTGAACAACTGAACAACAGATTGTATAACACAGCCTCTGGTAAGTGTGATTAATACAATACATTGATATAACAATTTGTGAGAGCACAGAAAATATGGACTCGATTTAGTTATGAATCTACTGATTAAAAGACACCCTGGTGGTGTTTTGCTATTGTCAAAGGAGCCAAAGTAGCATTTGATTGTAAAGAACTGGTGCAATGACAATTTATAAGTATAATGTGCCTAATCAAGTTGACTAAATTTCTTTTGTACAATTCTTTTGCAAAAGACAAATTTCTGTGAAGACCAGGAATATGTGATAAATGATGGCAACTTTATTAGTGTAGAAAGGAAGTTAAATTCCTTGGCATAACCCATAAGGAAGTCGGAAGAAAATTTGGAAATCTAGAAGTTACTTTATTTTAGAGTTATGGTTCTGTTCTTATGATGAGATCTTGTACACCAAGTCTGCATTACATTACATTGTCTTGATCTACATTCAATGTTTCTTGTTCAAGTTCTTTTATTCCTTTTTCGCAATGAGCAATAGATTTTCTCGAGATACATAAATTTATCTGGACAGATACACAAACCCACAGCTCAGTCACCCAAAACAATACTCCCACGCCCAGTTATGAAACGAGGAAATGCCCTGCAATATTACAATCTTCATTAAAACTGTTCATTGTCTATATTCAGAAGATAGTGACTGCTTTAGCTTAGTTACCCTTTTTCACAAAGTTTGAAACAAAGACTCTTCAAAACATGTCTTTTACTAGGAAATTTTGTAGTAACACCTGTCTTCTGTAATTCCTACAATTACTGCTAGGAGGCGCTGTAGATACTACCCATGTTGCCGTGCGCGCGTCCACCATGTTACATTTCTGTGCGGAAACATTCAAGTTTTACGATTAGCAACTACAACTTTCCTCCCATAGTGTGGACGTTGCACAGCGCGTTTCTTGCCCGTCACAGTTCTACAAACGAAGCCAGAAGGTCTAGGAGCCCGAGGGTCGTCGCCAGACTGCCAGTTGTAATCGGATAGTTCTCAGTTTACCTCCAAGCCGCATGTAAACACCGGGTATCGAGGAAGCTTCCAGCGTCCGAACTCCGGGTTTCCCCCGATGATTCATACATTCCTTTGTCTTTTATGTCACAAAAATATGATTTAGTCACAGTCATCCGAATTCCTAGATGTTGAAAAGGGACTGTTGATCGCAGACGTGACGATTTGGTGCCGCAATGGGGCTGGAAGAATACCAGAAAGTTCAAGTTGTGGGGAAGGGGAGCTACGGAGAGGTATGGCTGTCTCGACACCAGAAAGACAGAAAACAGGTGAGCAAAAAGATAGCAAAACAGCACTTTATAGAAAACTTTCCTGTCGCCACTCTGTTGTTTTTGTCGTACTGAAGCTTCTACCGTGTTACTGCATTGCATAATCTTTCGTGAACGACTGAAAGTGCAGAAGACTACACCAGGTGTCTGTTCCAAGTGCATGTCCTGCAATCAGAAGTATGCAACGAAAAATGTTTGTAGCAGGTGGCCAAATATTTAAGATTTGGATTGCTTATTTATCAACTTCATAGCCCTTATTTGTAACTAGAGGAGTTTAGATTTGAAAAACCTTCATGCCAGTTTCTCAACACCGTGCACTTGAGGCTCGTCGTAATCTTGAATATAGAATTACACAAAGTACTCAAGGTGTTACAGAAAGAAGCAATTAGTTGTCATGGTAACGCCCTAGACGCCAACTCCTTGAGGCATCTTATGACACAGATTGCACGCTTTCTTGTAATTTTTGTCACCAAATGTTCAGGCATGCCACTGTTCCTATTGTGTGAATTCCAGATCTAAGGTACAACAAAATTGTTGCAATTGTTAACGTTACACTTAGTAATGCATAACACCTTAAGACTTAAATGACCTGTAAAATTGGGACTCTACACGTCCTTCTAGTTTAGTTTAGTTTAGTTTAAGTATCTCAAAATACTGTTAAAAGCTATTAATCATTTGCAAGATAAAAGCTACTGATATATTCTGTTAATAGTTTGCCAGTACCTTGGAAGCTTGCCCAATCGTATTAGTAGGCTTCGCAAACGTTACAGACGTTGGTTATTGTGTTCCTTTCACCATGACACAAACCGTTATACACGAACACACAATCACTGGCACCATGTCAAACTAAGTATACAGATGTGTTGACTTAAGAATTTTGAACACTAATAGTAATAGTACATAGGACTACCATGAATAAGTATATTAACTTAATATACTTCTAATAAGCATTGCAAGTTAGAAAATGCTAGAACTGAATTCATCCAGTATCGTGCAATCAAATTTTATACAGATAAAAAAGAAAATATTGTTATCCTTTCACAAACAGCTATAATAAGGTATACGCACATTACGCAAGTGTAGGATACTGTCACAAGTCCGTGACTGTATTTTAGAGTAGAGTAGATCTTTCGTCTCGGTAGGAAGTTCTCTTCCACTTTGAGCCGCTCCTTGTAGTTTACTGCGTAGACATGGTCATCTTGTGGGGGTTGTCCAATGCCCGGGGGTTGTACACCACTGGATGACTTCTCATGTGTTTGTCCAGTCTATTTTTAAAACTGTTCACACTTGGGGCTGACACCACCTCTTCCGGTAGACTGTTCCACCATGTTACTACCCTGTTGCTGTAGAAAAACAGTCTTTTGTTGTTGTTCACTGATCTTTTGTTTAGTCGTAAGCTGTTCCCTCTTGTTCTTGTTTTTTCTTGCATTTTTGGTAGGCAACCCTCTGTGTCCAGCTTCCCATGGATGTATTTGTAGGTCATGATCATGTCCCCACGTATTCTTCTATATACCAGTGTCGG